AGCATCTGCCCTTTTCAAAGGATCTCTGCCTTATGTGTTCATGTTTATTCCTAAAATGGCTCATAAAAATTATAATTTGGATTTTCTAATTCAAGTAATTGTCTTATAAATTTTTTAAAACTCTAAATTTAATTGCCCCTTCATTAAAAGTAATATAAGAACTTAATTGCACTGTCATTCCAACTTCCTCTATTGTATCTCTCCCCTATTTTGGGTACTCAAGCTATTATGTGAGAATAATTTTCAATTTAGCTATCTTATTTCCCATTGATTGAGATTAGATGTATAAAAAATTACCTTGAGAATTATTATATATAATAAATATATATTTATTATAATATAAAAAGTTACTTCTGCTCATTGCCCTGAAAATTTACATAACCTCATTTTTGTAGTCTGATTTTCTCCAAAGATTTTTTTCCCAAAGGTGTTTTGTGTTTGGATCATATTTCAGCGAGGAAAGCACCCCTACCTCCTCCTAACGCAATTTCCTTCATCTACCCTGGTTAACTAGTATTATGACTACAGTAGAATAACCCATTGCCTTTTTTATTTTTTTGCCACAAAACCATAAGTTGTAATGGCCTTTCTCCTAGACATTTTAGGAGGTTAAATTTTTAAGCAGTCTTTGTCAAAAAGGCAAGGTTTTTTTTTTAAAGGATTATATTTATTTAGAGAAATTCAGTAGGTATGACCATTTTCTCCTTTTCCTTCTGTACAGGAAGAAAACTCATTCTTAGTACACCTGTCACTTCTCTACCTTATACACATATAAGATTCTAAAGACTTTTTGCAGTCCTAAAGTCTCTGACAGCTGGATATTACTCATGAAACAATGATATATTCACATGAGAAAATTTAGGGTTACTTTTTGGAAGAAGTTGGAGTGGTATTGAGTATAGCCCCATACAGGTTGTAGAGAAACAAGAACTTATCTTGTATATTACCAATTAGTTGCAGAGATGTTGTAATACTAACAACAACAATAAAAATGATAGCTAGCGTTTTTGAGACTATAAGAGCAACAATAATAACAAATAGTTATTGTTCACTTAGCACTAAGTGCTTTGCTTGCATTATCTTTTAAGTCTTGACTAAACCACCCCTTTACAACAGCAGAATCTTCCATTATTGGGCACCTCAGGATTCCAACTTGCAAAGCCAGGCTTTAACTCAATTCTATACCTTGGTACAAACAGTTCTCAAGAATTTTGGTCTCAAAACTCCTTTCCACACAAAACTAGGATTGAAAAATTTTCATTTATGTAGGTTTATATCTATTGATGTTTCTGTATTAGAAATTAAAACTAAGGAATTTCTAAACCCATTATATGTTAGTTAAACATTTTTTGTGAAATATAACTGAATTTTCTAAAACAAAACAAAAAATTAGCAAGAACAGTGCATTGTTATACTTTTTTTTGGCAAATCTCTTTAGTATCTGGCCTAACAGAAGGTAGCTGGATTGTCATATCTGCATATGTGTTCAATCTGTTGCAATTTGTTGTTTTAGTTGAAGTAGATGAAGAAAAACAGCCTCATACAGAAATGTCATTGGAGAAGGGAGGATTATTTTAATAGCGTTTTCATAAAATTGTGGATATTCTTCTTTGATACTACCGCAAACTCTACAAATGGTAGTTTCTTAAAGGTTAAATGGAATGTGGAATCTGAAACCTTTTCAGTGAACTTTTCCTACTGCGCACAATAATACAAGTAAATAATACAAGAAAAGGCACTTTGAGAACCTCTGGCATTAGCTTAGGGAGTCAAAAACACAACCTGACCAGCTCAAGACCATGAATAGACATATTTATGCATTATTTACTTCAACAATTATCTTTCAAGCCTGAAACAGAAAAGACACCAATGATTATTTCCTCCCCATTCTGCCAAGATATAGAGAGGATTAAGATAATGTCTCCAAAGTGGTTGAGAGCTCTGGAATTAAATAAACATAAAATTGTGTTCTTAAAGTTAGTATGCTGTTTTCCCCTTTAATAAATTGAAATAAGAAATGAATACATCAATATGGCAGATGCTTTCTTAGAATGAAATAAGGTAAAACTAATCATACTCAAAGTCTTTAAAGTTAGCCAATATTAGCAGTGCTAAAATCATTCTGTCAAATGCATTGCTAATTTTTTATCTTGAAATAAATTTCCCTCTGTTTAAAACATTCTATTTAAAAGAACTTCCTACACTTTCCTTGGGAGAATTTAATGTATATTCTATATTTTTTAAAGGAAGACAAATCACTTTTGTCTGGCCACTTATATACTTATTTGTGAATTTTGAAACTGCATGCTTCATCTTTTTATAAACTAAACACTAACCTGAATAAGAAATATATTTTTTTCAACATTTACACTTTTTTCTTCTTTCACTAATATGCTTTAATGGTGTTCTATTTGCTTTGCTAAATAGTGAGATCACTTTATTTCTACTTGAAGATATGCAAGAATCTTTTCTACCCATAAATTTTTAACCTATTAACTCACATTCAATTTTCATAACAGTAATTCATTACTAATTATACACATTGATTTTATTATGACTTTTTTCTTGAGGGGTGGACAGAGGATATTTATGTATTTGTATATGAAATTTTATTGGGATAAGTATCTTATTTGTAAATAAATGTATTCCTGTGATTTTTGTGTTTAAAATAACAAGTTAAACTCCTTTTTGAGTAGAATGGTCACCACTGATTTCTCCTAATATTGTTGATTTTCATTTTAGATCATTAGGAGATTATCCAAAAATTATTTGTTAGAGTCTCCCTTCCATTATGTATAAGGATATGGAAACAGGTAGAATAGAGTTGTAGAAAATTCACAAACAATAAGCCTAAAGCATTACTTAGCCTCCACCTTTTTTTTCTTAAATCAGTACATGAGCATCAGAGCTAGAGATAAATATATTTGAGTTCTGTATCAATGTGTTACATTTTGTGGTAGTGATATCCTTTTGTTCTCCACCCAGTACCCAAGATTTTATGCAGCTTATTTTTAAAACTCAAATGTTTCAAAATATTTGATGACATTTTAACATTTCTCATAAAACATCCTTTCTGTATCTTCCTGCTCAACTCTAAGTATCAAAAAACAAATGTTGAAATATTGCTACATTAGAAAAAATCAAATGTATTAAATAACATTAGCAACTGCTCCAGAAATAATCCATATGGGGGGAAAAGCAGTAAGTATGGGAACAGAGCCATTACATTTTTTGCTTTAAAACTTTTCTATAGATTTCAGGAAGTTAGACTCTTACATTTGAGCTCACACTGTTAAAAAGAAAATAACATTTTATGGATATTGAAAAATATCTGAACACTGGTTTCAGGTGTTTTCTGACACCAAACGTGATGTCTTTACCAACACCAATTCTCCAGTTTTCCGATCCTCTAACATCAACTGGGTGTCCTACAATTCAATCCTATTGTGACACCAACTACTTAGGGTTAGTGTAGGACTTCACAGATTTTAAGGGCTCAATCTCACAACCTCCCCTCACTTTCAACCCCAATCACAAATACTAGGTCCCCTGGTTACCTGCACTTCTGAGTTGGTTGTTAGTTCAAGAGTACTAACAACCAACCCACCCTCATCCCCATTCAAGTTTGATAACTGGCTACAATAACCATAAAAATTATACATACAATGATCATAAAAGTCAGAGAAATGCCATGTTATTACCGTTTATTATAAAAGATGAAAATAAAAAGATCTGTAGGGTGAAGTTAAAAGAGTCTTAAGCACAGGAGCCTTTGACCCCATGGAGTTGAGATGTACCATCCTACAAGCACATTGATGTGTTCACCAACTTGGAGGCTCTCCAATCCCTACTGTTTAAAGATTTTTATAGCCCCCTGTCCTAAAGCTATCTAAGAACCCACCAAGTCTCCTCATTAGGATAAATTCAGATATGTTTGAAAGGAGTTTGTAATGAATAACAAAAGATACTCCTATTATCTTTTATCAGAAAATTCCAAGGGTTTTAGGAGCTCTGTGCAAGGAACCAGGAACAATACCAAATATATATTTTGTTATATCATAACTGGGTTTCCTCCAGGTAGTGGGGAAAAGGTTTTGGAGGTATAGCAAGGAGAGTACTTTTCCATGCAAGCTGAACATTCCTGATCTCTTCCCTAGCCCCACCTATGTATCAGTTTATCTATTGCTGCCTACCATACATATTACCCCCAAAACTAACAACAATTATTTCACAGTTTTGGAAGAATAAGAATTTGAGTACAACTCAAATGGGTGCCTCTGGCTCAGTGTCTTCCACGAGGATGCAATTAAACTGTCTACCAGGTCTGTGGTTCATCTGAAGACTCTACTGGGGTGGACCATCTGCTCTCATGCTCCCAACACACATGGTTGTTGGCAGACCATGGGCCTCACCATGTGGATTCCTCTATAGTACTGCTCACAGCATGGCAGCTTCCTTTCCCCAAAAGAAGTGATCCAAGAGAGAGAGAACAAGAAAGCATCCCCAAGATGGAAGCCACAGTCTTTTTATAACTTAGTCTCTGAAGTGATATCCCATTACTTTTGCCAATATATTCTGGTCATTAGATATGAGTCAGTAAGTCCAATATACACTTTAGCAGAGGGGATTGCACAAGGGCATGAATACCCAGGAGGTGGGATCATTGAGGCCTATCTTAGAGGCCACCTACCACATTTACCCTAACATAATGGATCTTAATGTAGTAAGTATTAAGAAATGGTCGACAACAGATGAGAAAGAAATTTGTAAAGACATTTATCTGGCTCCTTTTTCACTTTCACTTTCTCAATTTCTCCAAAGCTTTGCTCAGAGTATTTTCACTAACCAAAACCAATTCTGATTAATTTTATAGTCAATAGCTAGGTTTCAGCAGAAAGCTGCATACAATCAAAGGACTAAAATCCCAGTAAAAGTAAATCAGTTTAAATACTTATTTACTGCCAAATGAATAACAATCTCATATGCCATCTTTTTTAAAGGGAGAACCAGGTTTCATTGGTCCTCAAGGAGAACCAGGCTTACCAGGGTTACCAGGCACAAAGGTAAGTTGAATTTTCTCTTTCCTTTATTTCTGAAATATTTTTTGAAATATTTTATTTATTTATTCATGAGATACGCAGAGAGAGAGGCAGAGACATAGGCAGAGGGAGAAGCAGGTTGCCTGTGGGGAACCCCATGCAGGACTTGATTCCAGGACTCTGGTATCATGCCCTGAGCCAAAGGCAGATGCTCAACCATTGAACCACCCAGGCATCCCTATTTCTGAAATATTATGTCATATATTTTTAGTTCATTATGTTGAAAGAAGTGTGGAATGACTTTATTGTTTAGGTGACCAGATATTTTTGCCTAATAGGGAACTAAAATACCTATTACCTATTACTAACACTTCTTTTTTTGGTATATTTTTTATTAGAGTTAGATTTGCCAACATATAGCATAACACCCAGTGTCCATCCTGTCAAGTGCTCCCCTCAGTGCCCATCACCCAGTCACCCCAACCCCCTGCCCACCTCCCCTTCCACTACCCCTTGTTCATTTCCCAGAGTTAGGAGTCTCTCATGTTTTGTCACTCTCACTGATATTTCCCACCCATTTTGTCTCCTTTCTCCTTTAATTCCTTTCACTATTTTTTATATTCCCCAAATGAATGAAACCATATAATGTTTGTCCTTCTCTGATTGACTTACTTCACTCAGCATGATACCCTCCAGTTCTATCCACATTGAAGCAAATGGTGGGTATTCGTCGTTTCTAATGGCTGAGTAATATTCCATTATATACATAGACCACATCTTCTTTATCCATTCATCTTTTGAACACCAAGGTTCCTTCCACAGTTTGGCTATTGTGGACATTGCTGCTATAAACCTTGGGGTGCAGGTGTCTCAGTTTTTCACTGCATCTGTATCTTTGGGGTAAATCCCCAGTAGTGCAGTTGCTGGTCATAGGGTAGTTCTATTTTTAACTCTTTGAGGAACCTCCACACAGTTTTCCAGAGTGGCTGCACCAGTTCACATCCCACCAACAGTGCAAGAGGGTTTCCCTTTCTCCACATCCTCTCCAACATTTGTTGTTTCCTGTCTTGTTAATTTTCCCCATTCTCACTGGTGTGAGGTGGTATCTCATTGTGGTTATGATTTGTATTTCCCTGATGGCAAGTGATGTGGAGCATTTTCTCATGTGCTTGTTGGCCATGTCTATGTCTTCTTCTGTGAAATTTCTGCTCATGTCTTTTGCCCATTCAGGATGGGATTGTTTGTTTCTTTGCTGTTGAGTTTAAGAAGTTCTTTATAGATTTTTGATCTTAGCCCTTTATCTGATAGGTCATTTGCAAATATCTTCTCCCATTTTGTAGGTTGTCTTTTAGTTTTGCTTACTGTTTCTTTTGCTATGTAGCAGCTTTTTATCTTGATGAAGTCCCAATAGTTCATTTTTGCTTTTGTTTCTCTTGCCTTCATGGATGTATCTTGCAAGAAGTTGCTGTGGCCAAGTTCAAAAAGGGTGTTGCCTGTGTTCTCCTCTAGGATTTTAATGGATTCTTATTTTGCATTTAGATCTTCCAACCATTTTGAGTTCACCTTTGTGGATGGTGTAAGAGAACGGTCTAGTTTCATTCTTCTGCACATGGCTGTCCAATTTTCCCAGCACCATTTATTGAAGAGGCTGTCCTTTCTCCAGTGGGTAGTCTTTCCTGCTTTGTCGAATATTAGTTGACCATAGAGTTGAAGGCCCATTTCTGGGTTCTCTATTCTGTTCCATTGATCAATGTGTCCATTTTTGTGCCAGTACCACACTGTCTTAATGATCACAGCTTTGTAGTACAACTTGAAATCCCACATTGTGATGCCCCTAGCTATTTTTTGCTTTTTCAGTATTCCTCTGGGGAATATTTGGGGTCTTTTCTGGATTCCACACAAGTGTTAAGATCATTTGTTCCAACTCTCTGAAGAAAGTCCATGATATTTTGATGGGGATTGCATTAAATGTGTAAATTGCCCTGGGTAACATTGACATTTTCACAATATTAATTCTTCCAATCCATTAGTATGGAATATTTTTCCATCTCTTTGTGTCCTCCTCAATTTCTTTCAGAAGTGTTCTGTAGTTTTAGGGTATAGATCCTTTACCTCTTTGGTTAGGTTTATTCCTAGGTATCTTATGCTTTTGGGTGCAATTGTTAAGTGGGATTCATTCCTTAATTTCTCTTTCTTCAGTCTCATTGTTAGTGTATAGAAATGCCACTAATTTCTGGGCATTGATTTTTGTGTCCTGCCACACTGCTGAATTGCTGTATGAATTCTAGCAATCTTGGGGTAGATTCTTTTGGGTTTCCTATGTACATATTACTAACACTTCTAATGGGAATACCATACTAAATAGAATAATAGGAAGTTAATTTCAGAAGACCTCAGGTAGGATAACAGGATAATGAAATATATTAGTTGCTCATTTCCCCCAAATTATCCCTAAAAAGATATGATGCTGTTTGCCTCCTGACTGTATGAAAAAAATGAGGGAATTCTGATGAGGAGAGATAGAACTCATTAACTTCTGAACCTTATTGCCAATTTTAGGACATACTGTAAATCAAACATTATTACTATTCCCCCCTCACTCCCTAGATTTCAAAGGCAAGTACTGATGTCATATAGATTCCTAAGTGCCTCATCTCAAAAGGATCTATCCTGAATAATGTCTGCAGAAAGATCATATAATGAAAACCATTTCATGATCTTCCACTTGGCAATCCTGGAGAGGGCCCCAAAAGCGAAATCTATATGCCTCCGTATAAAAAATTATGTTTTTATGGATGTAGTCAAACCCATAGTTCTCTTTTTATCTACTCAGTAAGACATAAAAAGGTATAGCTCTGAAGATGGAACTTTACTCATGACAGACTCATGAATCAAAGGAGCAAAATTAGATCAAACTACATTCTTTTATTTTTAAACTGTAGAAGTCTTTGCCTCAATATGTATTGTATTCACCAGAAGTAAGCCAGGATGATTTCTAAGAGCTAGGAAATATGTTCATGGTCTGTTTTGACAGAGGGCTCCTCATTTCCACTGATCAAGAGAAAATAACTCTGATCCTAGTAAATGGAAACTATGTGTGGCCTAAGGGGGACTGAAACTCAGTAGAATTTATGCAAAAATTGCTGTTTTCTCAAGCAATTTCTTTTTCACATAATGAGCTGTCAGGCTTATTAACAAAATGTGAGGAATGCCTGAACAGATACACACAAGAAATATGCTTTCCTGGAAAAAAGAGAGAGAGAAAGCTAGAGAATAATGAGGATTCCGTGTTCATATGAGAACCTTGTATTTATTCAGACTTGCAGCCTTAGAGCCCTGTAAAGAAAGAAGCCAGCTTCATAGATCAGCACAAATAGAAAACTTAGTCAATACCAGAGAGAACCAGGCATGAATTAAATCTTTAAATGTTTGTAGCATTTTATTTTCTAAAAAGGAGGAAGTAGTAAAAACACAGATAGTAGGGAATGGAGTTCATTCCTGTATATCATTTCTTTAGTTCACTGATTTTCAACTACTCTGCAGTTTCAGGGCACCTGACTGGCTCAGTCAGTAGAGCATGAGACTCTTGATCTCAGAGTTGTGAATTTGAGCCCCATGTTGGGTATAGAGATTACTTAAAAATAAAATCTTTAAACTACCCTGGAGTTGGAGTACCTAGATGGCTCAGTCGGTTAAGCATCTGCCTTCGGCTCAGGTCATGATGATCCTGGGATCAAGCCCCCATGTTGGGCTCCCTGCTCAGTGAGGAGCCTACTTCTTCTTCTCCTCCCCACACATGCTGTCTGTTGCTACCTCTGTTTGTCTCTGTCTCTCTCTCTCTCTCAAATTAATAAATACATCTTTTTAAAGAATAAAAATAAACTACTCTAGAGTTTCAAAAAAATCCAGATGTAAACCCAAAAAATCAACATTGATTTCTGTTCATGAAGAACCCAGCCTGATTTTAACAAATACTGTTCTGAATTCCCAGTAAAAGTAAAGAATGTACTGTACTTGTTTTATATGTCCACAAGAAGGAATGTGGGTAGGATATTTGTTTTACTAATGGTATTTTAACAATTATATTAACAATACTAGCAATTTTCAGCTGAATTGCCTTTCTAACATGAATTTGGTATCATAATGGAAAAGTAGTTTATTTAAAATTCTCTCTCAGTTGAACAGTGGCCTTTTTCCAGTTGTGTAGGCAAGTCTGTATTTGTACCACTAAATTTGGATTTAAAAAATAAACTAACCCTGCACACCCCCAACACAGTAAAGAGAGATTATAAGGAAGGAAGATGTATAATGATATCTAAAAATCTGCTTTTATGTACTGCTGTATCCTCAGCATCTGTATCAGTGTCTGGGAGAGACCTATATCAGTCTAAAGAACTGGGGTTTTATTACAAATAATTCTGAACGCTTTGAATACAATGTTTATTCATTAATTCAGCACATTTTTTTTTGCCAGACATTTTTCTAGTATTTGAGAATGAGGAGTAAATGCAACAAAAATTGTCTACTCTCCTGAAGCTTACATTCCAGTATGTGTGAGACTAAGGTAGAAGGAGAGAAAGAAGTATACATATAATTCTCACATAACATGTAATTCATATAACACATAATTTTCATACAGTACATAATTCCATACGGTGATAAGCAGCTTATTAGGGGCATTGTGACAAAAAGTGATTCTAGGTAAAGATATATAGACTCTGCTCCTAGAGTATGCAATAGATAAAGGATTTTCTCAGATTTTTGCTTTTCTTTAAAATAAGCTTATAATTAACTATTTTAGAATTCTTCTTTAAAATATTAAAAGAAAGACCAAATATGGTACATCTTTAAAAATTAGAATTACGGGCAGCCCGTGTGGCTCAGCGGTTTAGCGCCACCTGCAGCCCAGGGTATGATCCTGGAGACCTGGGATGGAGTCCCACGTCGGGCTCCCTGCATGGAGCCTGCTTCTCCCTCTGCCTGTGTCTCTGCCTCTCTCTCTCTGTGTGTGTGTGTCTAATAAATAAATAAAATCTTTAAAAAAATAAAAAATAAAAATTAGAATTCCAGGCAGCCCCGGTGGTGCAGTGGTTTAGCACCGCCTGCAGCCTGGGGTGTGATCCTAGAGACCCGGGATCGAGTCCCACGTCGGGCTCCTTGCATGGAGCCTGCTTCTCCCTCTGCCTGTGTCTCTGCCTCTCTCTCTTTCTCTGTGTGTCTCATGAATAAATAAATAAATAAAAATATATAAAAATTAGAATTCCATACACCAACAGAGGTCCTTCCATCTCTAATGCCTGGAAAATCCCTTCTGTAACATCTTTTCCATCTTTTCCATACAGACAAGTCCCTTGTCTTTCTTCCAGGCTTTCCATTTTCACATTCTTTTCAGCTCATGTTGAAGAACCTGCTGGGCCTTCTTTAATCCTTGCCCTAATCTATCCATCCTCCCCTGCAATATCCCAAGGCTTTCCAGAGTGGGTATGATACAGATAAAGATCTTGGAATTTAGAGCCCAGTATCACCCAGGACAGATCCAATGCTACTTTGTTTTCCTTTCCACAATGAATCAATTTCTTCAGTGAGGAGGGTGCCTTTCTCAGCCATAAATATGGCATCACCGCTCAATTCCAAACCTGTTTGGTTATTGCAAGTCTACCCATCAAGCAAGCAGCCAACATTTTCTACTCCATGTTCGGGAATGGAAATGACACGGTCTTCCTGGATAGTGATTTGGCAAGCTTTTCAAATGTTTGTACTTTTTGACACAGCAATTCCCCAACTAGAAATTTACCCTAAGAAAATGACCAGATATGTGCAAAAGATTTGCAAACATTCAACATTTATGCAAACGTTGAAAATTGAGCACAATTAGTTTTACATCATAGCTTGCCACTTTAAAGCTTTATAATTTTGGACAAGTTACTTAACCTTTCTGAGCTTCAGTCTCCTCATCTGTAGACTCTGGGAACTAGCAACTTTCTCATTTATCCCAAGGGTTAAGTAAGATAATGCATGTGAAGTGTTTTAGGCAGCTGCTGGATTCATCAACAGCACAGTCATAAGCAACAATAATTATAAAAAATACCCTACCCATCCTTTAGGACATGACTCAAGTCTTACCTCCACAGAGCCAATCTGGACCATTCAAAACCCCTATGGGATTTTCTTTTCTCCCACGTATTAGCCTTATATTACACCTTAATTCTTAACTATTTTGTTTATGTGGATCTTCTCTAACTAGATCGATCATCAGTGATCGTGTTCATACTTCATAGAGCGATGAATATAGTTAAAAGCTATAACAAATATGTATCTTGCACTATTCTCAGCACTTTGCCTTTATAAGTTATGAGATCAGTACTATAATTTTCTTCACATTACAGAGAAAATCGAGGCTTTCAGAACTTAACTAATTTGTCCCAAAACACAGAACTGGTTAAAAAAAAAAAAAAAGCAGAGCCAGGATTAAAGCCCAGGATGTCAGATTGCAAAACCTGGTACTTAACTGCTTTGCCATGCTTCTTCCTGGCAGATCTTTAAAAAGTGGCTACAGAATGAAAACTTTGTCAACATCTGTCTTAAGATATAATAATGGCTCTTATCAATTCCCTTTAAAAGTCTTCTATTTACCAACATAGTTATCAGACAGGCATTACCAAACCATTTTCATGTGTACAAAACAGGTATTTTGAATAAGTGTTTGAATAAACATTGAATAAGTGTTTCAATCATTAAATGAGATAATCCATGTTAAGATTAATACAATGCAGGATACATGGTAAATAAATGGTAACTCTGTGCTTTCCTTGATTTTATTCAATTCACTTATTAACCTACAGGGACAAGCCTGGGGGGAAAGAGGAATTGCCATTTATTTATTTTGTATTCTGTGACAGGGTGAACGTGGAGAGGCAGGACCTCCTGGAAGAGGTGAACGAGGAGAGCCTGGAGCCCCTGGACCAAAGGTCAGTTATTCTTGTGTTTGACAATAGTTTTCTTTGGTTTGGAAATTTGTCCAACTTACTTTAGAACATTAAACTAGAATACAGTTCTTCAATGGGAATTAAAACAGCAAAAAATCACAATTTATTGAAATGCACACCGTTTTTTTCTTTTCAAAAGGAGTTTTACAATTCAACTTTTCCAATTTGTTCTGTTCAGTTAACAAATTTAATAGCACATCCAGATGTAAAGAGGGACTGTCATATTAAGATGTTATCACTCAATGTATATTAAAACTTACTGAGAAAAATGTTGATGCATGCTGTGTTAGCTTCTATGTAATTTGAAGGTGTGTACCACCCTGAAAATATCAGAGCTAAGAATTTATTTCACTGTTCAATCTTTATTCCTCTAAACTTCCTGCAAACTAATATGGTAACACTTTATTCTAATAAGCCCTCCTAGAGACACAGGAAATGATTCACTCTGATGAAAAAGAGATTTACGGCAACACTGTTGAGACTAATGAGGATTATTCACAGAACTCTTCCCATCCACTGATGGGTGGGCAGTCTTCAGAATTATAATGAAATGAAGGTGGTGGAGAGACCAGGGATGAACCAATGACATGAGGATAACTATTTATGCTTTGTGTTATAATAGCCAACACTACATAGAGCCATATATTGAGGCAATTAAAATAAAGTGTTTCCATTTTTCTTCAGTATTCTGAGTCACTGCTAATTTCTTTTTTTCTGTTCTTATCTCCTCTGTCATATCTCTTTTCCTGCTTCATATTCTGCTATAATAGGGGAAACAAGGTGAATCAGGAACTAGAGGGCCAAAGGGGTCAAAGGTCAGTAACCAAATAACCATTTTAATGTAACTTGAGGCCTTCAAGAGCTGTGCCTTTGCCTCTTCCACGGATAATCACATTTAAACTCTCACACATTGGGATCTGCAATATTTTCATCCCTGTGATAATATCTCAAAACAATTGGCTTGTTTTATATTTTCGTTTTTGTGTGTTCTTGTGCTTCAGACTATTCTTTAAGAGAAATTGTATTTCCCATTTCATAAGAATAGTGTCTTTGGGGAAAAAAAAGACTTTTTAAAATTTACATTATGTAGGATTTATCTTACTTATTTTCTGGCGATCTTTGTGATAAATCTTCAAATTATACTTAGCTTTTAAGTTAGTTGATTCCTTCCATGGCATTAAAATTTCGCCACCAACTGAAATTCTTTCCTTTATCATACTGTTCATAATAGTTGCCATAATCCATATACTGTTAGCAGAATCATGTTCTTTAAGATGCTGTCAACTAATAACATGAAACAATGGGTAAAAAAGTGAGGAAAACAGCAAAAATTATTAATTCTCTACTCATAGAGAATTTAATTATTGTGGTCAATGTTATTAGTATAATGTGGGTGAAAAAAATTAAAATCCCTTTTCCTGCTTTCTCTCACTGCTCCCTATCCATTTTATGAAATATGTTGAAAGACATATTAAAATAATTTGAATTCCACCTAGGAAAAGAACACTACAAATTTAAAGCTGTCTTAAAGAACTTTCAAATATACACAGGTTCAAATCTCTTCTAGGGTTTCTCTTTAGACTTCTGAGAATTTTGAGTATTCTCAGAGTGATGGTTGTGTGGTTTGATGCTTAGATTATTCCTGATTTCTCACCAGTTTGGGTAATAACACCATGAATGGAACTTTAGAGATTTTTCTCACTGCATTTGAAAAACACAGTTGGTTTTGCCCTACCCCTGACCTTCAGCCCTGCCAACTTGGCCTAGCCAGCTGCTGTCCACTTCAGCACCTTCTGAGTATTAAAAGGCCTATATGTTTAGAATTTTCCTTAGATCTTCATCATCATCATAGAGAGGCCTCACTGGTGACCTTCCCCTTCTAAATCTCCCTAGACTAAGCTCTCCATTCCTTCCCTGTCCAGATTATCTATACACCTCTTTTGTTTTTTTCTCAGAAAACAGACAACCCAATTGATTGGCTCTTTTTTCTTTTGTCCCAAATCTCTTCATTTAAAAGTATTAACATGGCTCACTCTGAGAGGTATCATAGAAACCACTTGCTTTGCTTTTAAAGATCCCTAGTAAGAGAGTTACCATATATATTGTTATTCCAAGATACTCTGTCATCTGAAAGGGGAATTTATGGTGTATCTTAAAGAAGCGTTTGCTATGTCAGTGGTTGTCATTTTTCTAGTTGTTATTTCCACTTCAGAAGTTCATCAAAGGTTCTGCTGCATAGTATTAAATGTATCCTTAGTTTGAGATATTTCTGGACTGTTGGCTCTGCTACTAATTCAGTTTTTCTATTTTCATGGGGTGAAGGGTGATCGTGGAGAGAAAGGGGACTCTGGAGCCCTGGGACCAAGGGTGAGTACATTTCTCATCTAAGCTTTTGGCCCCTATAAGCCCAGATTTGACTCATGTGTCCATGTGGCTTTTCACAAGGCACCTAGACTAATACCCAATAATAGCACTGAGATAGACTACTGATTATTTCTGCGGCTCCCCTTTTATTCTTATTTTTTATTTTAGTCACCAGGAGCAATGAGTGTATAGATTCTAACACATAAAATCAGCTCCACAAGTAGAAAGTCTAAGGAACTCCATGTACTTTCCCTCTGCTAACTGAGCAATAGCAAGCCCATAATCATACAGCTAATAGAATTTTCCATTTTTCAATTAACCCAATTATAAAGAAAGCAATAGCTCATATTTTCAAAGCCTTTTTTAAAGACAGACAAGGAATTAGCACATGACTAATGGAAATTTAGTAACAGAGCTAATGAGTAGGGTAGATATATTCATTCCTTATTTGGTTTAATTTTAATGGAATTATGTTCCAATTGAGAAAGCCAAGCATTTCATACAGAATAGTGTTCTATCTTCTTAAAGAATAAGGAAACAATCTATGAGATGTAGAAGAATAAAAAGGGATATGTAGACATGCTTAAATAAACATTGTTAAAGTCAACAAAATGTTCAAGTCAAATCAGATTAGCCTACATTTTATCATTTTTAGAAGACAGTTACAGAAATTGAATCATCTCTCTTTTCTTAAAAAAATCAGATTTCATATCTTTAATCTGCCATCTATAGGAAGTTAAAAGTGTTTTCTTCTTAGCAATAGGGACAAAATTTGAACATGATTATTCTGAGGTGCAATTGGGCTATATAAAGGAATTGATGGTCAGAGAGAGCTGCGTGTTGCTATTTCTGTTTTTTGCCATAGTCCCTTATACAGCCTAGCTTAACTTCCATGATTTTCCCCTGGTTCATTTTCTTCACAGGGTCCACCTGGTCAAAAGGGAGATCAGGGAGCCACCGAGATCATAGACTACAATGGCAACCTCCACGAAGCCTTGCAGGCAAGTCACTGCCCCCTCCCCTGACATAGACACTGATAAGCACCCATGTAGTATGTGTACATATCAACTTCCATGCTCTGGCCCCAGGATCCCAGGGGGCTCCACTGCTCAAAGCACACCTTCCTGAGCTACCAAGCCATCCCCTTCTCCATGCCCCAGTATATCCTCTTTATTTCTTAGCATTTTTTGATCTTTCCTTTTCTTTACCTTCTGCCATCAGATATGCCTTAGTGTTCTCTAGTTTAAACCTTGTGCTCATTTTGCCAGTCTTTGTCTTCTTTCTTCAAAAGCAAGCCTAGCAAAGCAATCAAGAGCCCTGTGGCTCTAGATTCAGAGCTGCCTGGATGCAAATCTCTTAGCTTACTAAGTGCATGACCTAGGGAACTTGTTTAACTTCTCTGTGCTACAGTGTCCTCATCTGTAAAATGAGGATAGTAGTACTACCTGTCTGAAGGGTTGTTATGAGAAATAAATGGCTAAATACATATTATACACTTAGAACAGTGCCTGTCACATACTCAGTCCTCAATAGATATTTCTCATTACTGTTACCATTCATAATATAATGTATTACCATAGAGAAATACCTGTAGAGTAAAAATCCATGGACCATGTGGCTTGTCTCCATCACCTTTGCTTCCTATTCATCCTTTTCATGCTTGGACTCCTCATTCTAGGCTATATCTGTTGAAACTGCTCTTATAAAGGCCAATAATGACCTCTAGGTCAACCCATTGTACTCCTTATCTTTGATTTTCTGTGACATTTATACTAAACCATCTTCCTTTTGAAACATTTTCTTTCTGATTTTTCTAATCCTATACTCTCATTTCTTCTAGTTGTCCTCTTTGTTCTGTGTTAGTATTCCCAGTTTCTCTGTCATCCTGTAATTTTTGATAACCTCAAGTCTCTGATCTTTTCTTGGTTCAGTCATTCCTTCTGTGTTTTCCTGTGTGTGACTTCCAAGTATTTCACCTCCAAGTCTGAGCTACAGGTACTTCTGGCTGTCAAAGAATATTTTCACTAGGGATGCACCATTGCCTTATCAACTCCTACCAACACACGCAATTACACTGGTCACTTTTTCCAGCAATCAAATGATTCCATTTTTTAATGAATCATTGTCTGCTAGTCCAGACTATAAGTCTTTGACTTTCTTGAGATAGAAACTTTAGAGTAATTTTAAACTGTTCTTAGCCCCTCATCCATTACATCTCACTATATGCTGCTCTTTCCTTTTTCAAAATGTCTCCTAAGGTGATCTCATTCTCTGCATTCCCAACTCGGTTCACATCCTGTTTGTTTCAGAACTACCACTGCAACAGGCCCTTGACCAATTCTTTTGTCCCTAGTGCCTCCCTGCCCTTTCTTACCCATTCTACATATCACTCTAAGACTAATTTTCTTAAACTATCACTTTTTGATAGCTCTAATCTGCTCAGAAACCTCAATGACCCCTTTACCTACTCTGTCAAGCTGACTTTCATCTGTCTTTCAAAGCTCTATAATCCTGCCTTTCCTTTATAGAATTTTCTATTTCCTCACAACACAAATTTTCCCCAAGAGTGGTCATATTTAACATATCCATAAAACCACCCTCTTTTTGCCTGATTTATCCCATACTTCTTCCTTTTCTCTCACCCATCCAAATCCCATCCAACAATATACTGCTGCAACTAGATGATTCTTCCTTTTGATGCATTCAAACCTTAGCAGTCAGGGCCCAGTAACTTAATTAATTGTTCTCAAATCACATAATTTATTTGAGTCCTGCCTTTTACCAGATTGTAAGTTTCTTGGTGACAGAAGTATGTCTCATGCTTATTTTATGTCCTCCAATATACCTGGCAAAAGTCTGGGCATGTAAATATTGAACAAATGGTGACTGATTGATGAGTGAGTATACTTAGCATACATGTACAATCAATTTCTTTGCTTTTATAAGTAAAGAAAGAAAGAAGCCAAATTAGTTTTAAATATTTGCCATTTTGTACTTGATTAAATTATTTCACCCATCTTTATGATTTTATTCCCAGTATGTAATTATGGTAGATCTACATTTCTACATCCTCTTTATTTCTTTTCTACAACTGCCATTTTTAACTAGTAAAGCATTTATTGAGTCATTTTTGCAGAATCTGCCTTCAGCTCAGCCTGTTTTTTTAAAGATTTTATTTATATTTATATTCCCCAAATGAATGAGAACATATAATGTTTGTCCTTCTCCGATTGACTCATTTCACTCAGCATAATACCCTCCTAACTCTGGGAAATGACCTAGGGGTGGTGGAAGGGGAGGAGGGAGGGGTTGGGGGTGAATGGGTGACGGGCACTGACGGGGGCACGTGACGGGATGAGCACTGGGTGTTATTCTGTATGTTGGCAAATTGAACACCAATAAAAAATAAATTTATGGGGAATCCCTGGATGGCTCAGCGGTTTAGTGCCGCCTTCAGCCCAGGGAGTGATCCTGGAGTCCCAGGATCGAGTCCCATGTCAGGCTCCCTGCATGGAGCCTGCTTCTCCCTCTGCCTGTGTCTCTGCCTCTCTCTCTCTCTCTCTCTCTCTCTCTCTCTCTCTCTCTCTCTCTCTCTCATGAATAAATAAATAAAATCTTTTAAAAAAATAAATTTATTATTAAAAAGGATTTTATTTATTTACTTCAGAGAAAGCAAGAGCATGGGGTGGGGCAGGAGGCAGGGAACAGAGGGATAGGGACAAGACTCAGGCTTCATGCTGAGCGCAGAGCCCTGACTCAACTCCGGGCTCAGTCTCACCACCCTGAAATGAAGACCTCAGCCAAAATCAAATCAGAAGCTCAACTGACTGAGCCACCCAGAGTCCCCTCAGCCTGTTTTTCTTTTCATTTCATTCTTTTTCTTCCGGTAAATGCAAGGAGAAGCATGCTTACCACTTGGAGATATGTTGCTTGGTCAGTATGTTTGGTCAAGAGCTTGAAATAGTGCTCCTCCATGCAAGTGGATTAGACATAAGCAGTAGCCCCCGGGCTATTGTTAAGTTCTAGAACCAGATTTCTAAATTGTTCCTTTTCCCATACAAACTGATAACTGCATGCAGAAGGAAAGAGAGAAGGAGAATAAGTAGTTTTGGTGTGCCTACTATGTTTTCAAAGCTTTTACTTATAAAATATAGGGACATATTTTTAATTTATTAGCCATGTTGTAGATTTCCCTTCAACTTCTTTCAGTGACACCATAACTCTTACTACCACTTTAAAAGGTGTACATTCTCTTAGCTTCCAAGAAATGCTCCAGTATTATAGGCCATGGCCATTTCTGGAAAAAAATTGTGTCTTCTAAAGTATCCTTTGTATGAATAGAGCCAGGCATGAAGCAAGCTACTCTGAGCTTAAAACCAAAAATCTGTTTTGATCTCCCCTCTACTCTTAACTAGCTGAGTCATTTTGGGGAAGTCACTTGGTATATCTATATTTCATTGATCTTATTTGTAAAGATATTTGGGAATAGATTTTTTTTCTAAGAGTCCATAAAATATAATATTATGCTTTGGGTCACTTTTTAGGAGCTCCTGAACACTCTTTGCTAATATGTGTAAACACACTGTTCCTTTTAAAAAATTGACACCTAGGTCTTGACATGAAACAATATATGTGCTCAGTTTCTTCTTCCACCTTAAATTCTATATGACGGGAAACCAGTCAATATCCGTCATAGTCAACTAATTCATGTTTATATCTCAACCTAAAGATTTATTATTTTAATAGGGTTATTAGGGCAACCATGTGTTATGCTTGTAAATAGCTTATAGTTTTTAAAATTATTATTTGTGGGATCCCTGGGTGGCGCAGCGGTTTGGTGCCTGCCTTTGGCCCAGGGCACGATCCTGGAGACCCAGGATCGAATCCCACGTCGGGCTCCCGGTGCATGGAGCCTGCTTCTCCCTCTGCCTGTGTCTCTGCCTCTCTCACTCTCTCTGTGACTATCATAAATAAAAAAAAAAAAGTAAAAAAAAATAAACTTTAAAAAAAAATAAAATTATTATTTGTTTTCCTAATAGAGTACTGGAAAAAAGGCCCCTCATAAAATTAATTAAGCCATTAGCCTGAGAAGAGGTAGTAGACATTTTTTCTTCTATTCTTAACCAGTGATATTCACCATTTTGTCAATTTCACTTTTTAAAAAGATTTTACTTATTTATTTCAGAGAGAGAGCACAAGCAGGAGGAAGGGAAGAGGGAGAGGGAGGGAGAGAATCTCAAGCAGTCTCCCCACAGATCATGGAGCCCTGACTCAGGGCTTGATCTCATGACCCTGAGATCATGACCTAAGCTGAAATAAAGAGTCAGTCGCTCAGCCAACTGAGCCACCCAGGCACCCGAAGGATTTCATTTTATTATCGCCTCCTCTACAAAAAAATCTGCCTAAAAGATCTAGAATAATTAGGTAAACGGGTGTATATTATAATTATAAAACTATCACATTAGAAATATAAAATTTTACCTCTGTTGGAATTTGCCTTTATTGAAAATTGTTATCTGCATAAACATCTGCCATAAGCCATTTATTTTTATTTTTAAGTTTCCAAAATTAGGAGTAAAAACCTACTTCCTAACTCAAGTTTTTAAAAACATTCAATACCATCTAACTTACACCTATTGTCTAGTGTAAATATGGGTGATTTTCAGTTTCCATAATTTTGAGAAATGAAAAAAAAATAACCTTTAATTCTAAAAAGATTACATAAGCATCTCAGGGATTAAATCACAACCTGTAAGGCTTCAGCCTGTTTGCAGTTGCTCCAATTCATGCCTCCCATTTCACATTGTGCCTCACTAGAGAACATGTCTTTCTTCATCACTACCAAAAATTCTGGTTTTCCAATCATTCGTGGAGTTCAAGAGAAAATGCAACTGAGTCCACATAGGTTTAACTTAGAAAAACCAGATAGAAGAAATCCAGAGTAAGCCAACATCTTTAGGATGTCTCTGTGTGCCTGCACACGGGTGCTTTAGGATGGTGGTAAAAACTATGTTGTTGAGAAGGTAAGCTTAGTTTGCCATTTGTTCTCTTATTATTAGCTGGATAAAACTCACCTATGTAACTGTTAGGTCTCACAAAATACACTTATTGACAAGATGACATAAACTCCATCTGTTAGGTAGTTCAGTTACCATTAATAATACACCTTTATTATGCAACTAATTATAAAATATGTTGTTATCCTTACATTTTTTAAAAAGACAATTTTGTGTCCAGGTGGAAAAAGAACTCAAATATGGTACATTTGGAAAACCTCATAGAGTTCAAATTGTGAAGTCCCTTCCCTCTAAGGTTTGAGGATTCTGCTTTGTAGTTAAAAATATAATATATAATTGGAAGGCAGTGATGAAGAAATTACTTCTACTATATAATACTCTAATAGCCTTTTTAAAAATGACTCACCTACTTATAGGAGTAAAGAAGTAGCTTTCTCATAACCATAAATCTGACTCCTGCTCTAGGTGAATCCCTTAAGAATAAACTAAGTGGTACCTTATGTTACACAGATATGATAGTATAAAAATCTGGGCTGTGATATTTTTCTTAAAACTTGCCCCCAGTTTATGGCCACTTTGCCTTTTGTCTTAGAAGCTCTGGTGGTGTGCTTTTTTTCTACTGTGTTTTCTGTGAAGCTATAATAACCATGATGGATTTTATCCTAGAATATAAACATCATTCATTTGTAGACATTCATAAACGTATTACTTTCTAAGGATAGATGACTATGTCACTAGAGACCTAAGTGTTTGAAGTAAAATCATAATATTAAGATTATTTTTCTACAATAACAATAATAAACAATAGCAGCAACCTCAACCAGAAATTGGAATGGAGAAGTGGCAAACAAAGGGATGGTGTTGAACTAGTACTCACAAGTTTACATTAACTGGATAACGTTTCTCTGTGAGCAGAGTTGCTGATGGAAAATGTGCTCCCTCTATGATAATATCTGGTGGTTATGGGTCCTACAGAACTTTTAGCACAAGTGGTCCCTGGGTGGCTTAGTTAGTTGAATGACTAATTCTTAATTTCAGCTCAAGTCATGATCTCACGGTGGTGAGATTGAGCCCCACCAGGGGCTCCATGCTAGGTGTGGAGCCTGCTTGAGATTCTCTCTCTCCTTCTCCCTCTGTCCCTCCTAAGCCCCTACCTTCCATCCTACCCTCCCACACATTTCCCTCCCCACCCCCTCACCTGGTCCCACATGCACATGCTTTCTCCCTCACACACGCACACAAAAAGAACTTTTAGTATAGGACTTTAACTTATAGAAAACACTAATGCAGAAATGATTAATGGATTAAGGACCAGATGTTGTGGAGATTCATACTTTGACAATATACTTTGTTACAGTGCTCTGGTACTTTACACTAAGAAACTGGATGAATTCCATGTCAACTCCTATCTTTATCCGTGGCACCCAAAAAAAGCTAATTATAATGCAAAAAATAAGCTATAGACTAAAAAGAAGAAAATATTACTTATACATACAATTGGATATTTCTGTTTTCTTTAATTGAAGTGCTCTGGAATGGAACTCTTGTGAATAGCAGTTTCTTGGTTCACAGTCCTGCCAACAAACCTCTACGATACACCATTTTACTACATAGATTTCTTTAACCAAGTGAATTAAAATCTTGACATTTTCTGTTTTCTTTATACATAGTTTTTAAAAGGAAAATCTAAAACTAGTTTAAAAAACAACCTTTCATCAGGTGATGAATGGTGTTCTGATGCCTGTCGCCCCACCAAATCTTTACAACTATACTGTATTCATTTAAAGATAGGATAATACGTTCTCACTATCTCGTCAGTCCCTTTTAAGACATCAGGCTTGCTAAAACATATTTAAAAAATGAATTATTTCAGAAATGTATTATTGTACTTTAGCACACAAAATAGGTAACTCTGTCTTTGTCAATACATTTTCCCAACAGAGGATTACCACCTTAACTGTCACGGTAACTCCTATTGCATGATTTCTGTGGTTTGTGACTTTGTATTTGGTGTTGATGCATGCCGGTAATAATGGTACTAATGTAGCACTTGTTTTTGTCTAATACTTAGTTTTATGCTTCCTTATATTAATAACCTTTTATGACATTTGTCCCAATTAAATCATTTGTTTGCTTAGTAGAAAAGACCAAAAACAAAAAAAAAAAAAGTTGTTGTTACTTTTCTTAAAGTCTTTGGCCTTATAATAATAGCTTTGTTCTTTAGTGGTTGGGAAATCAAATCCTTTCTGGGGGGGTGGAGTCTGGGTGTCTAGAAATATAGGTAATATTAGTAAGCTAACTCATCCCAAGGAGATGAATGTGGGACACAGCAGCAGTTTTGCATTATCTTATAAAATCAACTCAAAAGCATCTTTGGTGTTATATTACCTAAATGTATTGATATTTTTGCATATAAGTAGGTCACTTTTATAATTGTATAACGTGTAAATTTGTCCTTGTTGCAAATTAATTTTGGAGGATGTTTGACTATGACAGAAATAAGAGAAATATATAGCATACTTATTATTTAAAGCATAAATTGTAATACAGATACTTACCACTTTTTAAAAAATTGTCTTTTCTTGATTTAGGGTCCCCCTGGACCACCTGGACCTCAAGGACTACAAGGGCCAAAGGTTATTCTTCATTTTGCTTGTTTCCATTTACCTTGTATGGTATAGGGAATCCCAACTTAAATATCTGTATCTTTGAAAAATCATTCTTAAAAACTGCTGGAGAAGAGATCAGCAATATTGCTGATCTAAGAATAGATCAGCTCCAGAGAGCTAAGAATAGACATTGAGGTCCGGGATAAAGGAAGAGGGATCAGAAAAAAAGGAAAATTAGGAAAGAAGGGAGAGAAATAAGAATAGCATTCAATTTAGAGGGAGGATACTGAGAAACACAGAATATTAAAAGAGGGAAAAACAAGTTTTATAGAAATTATAATTATTATAGATATTTTTATATAAATAATAATTATATAATATGATGTGTTATATATTTATATATTGACATATATTCATATATACACTAACTGTAGTGTATGAAAAAAGGAAAATATTTGTATAGAGGATTGAAGGAAAATTTACTCTAACACTAAAAAAGATTTTTCCCTTCAATTCATTTATAATAAAAAGAACAGGAGAAGCTTTAGCATGATGTTATTGCTGATGACAGTTTGAGGAATCATTTTTGAGTCATTTTTTATAGCACATCCTATTCTATTTATTCAGACATTCTGCCATTTAAATATTATCTAATGAAACATACCGACTATGAAGAGCAGAAACCTAGAATTACTTGATTATATCTCAAATTTATCAGTGGTGTTAGCGTTATCCATCCAAAGTCAAACTTAGTTCGTTAACCACATTTGAGCAATTAACACATAGCCAGTGTCTCTAGCTTTTCAGAACTGAGCTATGTGTGTTGAAATATGATTTTCATCATTGGAGTTCTGTAGGAGATTCAAGTAGTTTTGAAATCCATCTTTTGTTGATGCCTTTTAAGGCAGTTTATTTGCTTAGTCTGTCACACACACACACACACACTCACGCTAGCTTCTGTACCCTTCTCTTTCAAGATACTTAAAAACAGAAAGCTAGCACATAGAAAGTTATTTTTCTACTATAAAAATGAGTATAAAGTAAAATGTTGCTGAAGTCCTTACCAATAGAAGATATATTTAGAATATAGAGCCTAATTTCAAACAGATTTCATGTAAAACATTAATGTAATGTTTGGGATTTTCTAACTTTCTATTTTTCTATCACATTCTGGTCCCTAAGAGATGAAAAACAAATATGCTCCAGTTATTTTTTTCCTGGTAAGCAAGTGAGCCTGGATCCCTAATCTCCAATATCTTGGTGAGCTGGCCTAGACAACCAAGAAGAAAATCTGCAGATTTCTTTTTCCTCTGTGTAGAATCTATTAGGATCTAAGTTCCTTGCTCTTCTTCTCACTTGACTAAGTCTCCAGAATCAAAATTGGCCCCAGTGCTAAACACACCTCAAAAGCTTCTAGGACTTTACTCTTCTTTAAAGCCCAAGGAATTTACAGAATTCCAAAGGGTACCCATCCTTTGTCCTGAAGAGGTAAGAAGAAGCACCTAGCCATGAAGGGTATATGTAGGGTTAAAACCTATACCCACCTCTTTGTTTTATAATCCAATTGCTATTCATTTTAACTAGTTCTTCAATAAGTCATATTTGAGCCTCCACTCCATGATAAAGACTGATATCTAACAGAGATACCTGGATATAGTAAGGGGTTTCAATAATGAGCTTACAGATTAGAACAGGAGATAGCCAAGTAAAGACACAATTATTAATAAATAGAGTAAGTACTTTGATGAAAAGTATGTGCTATGAATGTGCATCTGGGAAGAATTCTCGGTCTTGGGAATCAAGGATGACTTTGAGCTGAAACTAAAGATAAAAGGAAGCTGGCCAAATGAATGTCATACGAGGGCTGTGGGATGGGGTTAGTCAGACTCCCTTACTCACCCCTGCCAGCCTTCCCACTGTGTTATCACTCTGCCCCCACCCCACACACCACACAGTGATCCTAGATTGAGATCTTGGGCTAGTTAGTATAGTCTTTCATGCTTTCTGTGATCTCTCCTTGAGAAGGCTGGGATCATTGAGGTGAGATGTGCCTATGACCAAGAGTCAGCAAATGTAGCCTGAGTCAGATATAGAACCCATTTGCACTGTGGACACACAGCCTCAAGCTGACTAGGAACCTATTCAATTAGTGTTTCTCTTTCCTTTATTGACCAAGGATTGTTTGACTTCTTACACATCAAGTAACTCTTTGCAAACTACATTTGATGAGTGAAAGATAAAATCATACTTCAAGAGTTATGTTTTCTTTTAAACACTTATAGGTCACATTTTGAAGGTAAAATCTTAGCAAAACAATCATTATTGGGCCCAGAGTGTTGAAAAGTATTCAGACTGAATGAGGTGAGGGCTTAGCCAGGTGCATCCAACCTCAGCAGACTTGTTTGTGGCAAAGAAACTTTTCTGCTACCACAGAGAGCAGAAAATCAAGAGTAAGGAAAGGGTTTTTCTTTCTTTCTTTCTTTCTTTCTTTCTTTCTTTCTTTTTTTTATTTGTTTGTCAGGCTTTCTTTAAACATTGGAAAGTTCAAATTTCATGCTGTGGCCAGTAGCTCTTAAATTTTTACTGGGGAAAGGATCTCTAACCATTTCAATATCGTTGTTTATACAAGCCTTTCTAGAAAAATAGAGTCCTCAAACAAGCCTTTCTAGAAAAATACAGTCAAGTCAGCTCACTTGAAAGTCTGTCTGTGAGGCAGGACACTCACACTCAGGAGAGTTGATTTTACAAAATTTCCACAGTGTGGGAATCAGGGATATTTATAATTGGATCTACAAAATAATATCTTATGTTTCAAAGAATTTGTCTGTTCAGTACCTTTCCAAATGAAAAGTGACTAGACGTTTGTTGTTTGAATAAATATCTAGCATGTTGCTTACATTTGTTTTTAATATCTTCAGTTAAGAAAAAAATAGATTTGGGGTTCGTCAAGTTTTCTAATAAATCATAATGTGAATAGTAGTAAACTTTAGTTCATCCCTATCATAATATAATTGATCCAAAAGTAATTTTATGGATTATGTGGATTAAGATATCTGATTGATTCTTTCTGGAAATAGCACATTCACAGTCATGAATCTGTATCCACTGCTCAAATAGTACCAGTTAAAATATTGTAAACTTGTAGGGCTTTGCATTCTGTTTTAAGTCAACTGTCATGTTTTTTGCTTTTTTCTCAAGTTGGAAAATAAAGAGAAATACAGATTTTTTTAAGGGGAAAAAAATTAAGTAAGGCATATAGGTTGTTGCTGTAGGATATGGTCAGCCACCAAATGATCTTTATCAGTTTTTTTTCACCAGTTTTTCCATTAGCCTACATCTCACTTGGGGCAAAAATAAAAACTTGGATCTTAGCTACATATAAGTATTGTTGTATATAATCTTCAAAAATGTTATTTCACTTAGTTTTGATATGTGTATGATGTAACAAACCCTTCTTGGATTATGATGCATTTGCTGAAAATCAAATTGTACTGTCATCAACTAACATGACTTTTATTTACCAATGATAAATGGAGGCAAACCATCACTTTTTACCTTAACAGGGAGAGCCAGGATCTCCAGGAATCCCAGGAGTTGATGGAGAGCAGGTAATTTTCAAAGATACATATTGTCATTTAAAGCATCATAATTAATCACCACTTTTAATATAGATTTAGAGCCAAAATGACAGGAGTGTTGATATATAATTTTCTCTCTCTTTTTTTACCATCTGTTGTAGAGACTACATTAACTCTAAAAAGCAATTGATTTTAAATTAGACATTAGTTGTTTTTTTGTTTTTTGTTTTTTTTTTAAAGTGGGGCAGCCCCGGTGGCGCAGCGGTTTACCACCACCTGCAGCCTGGGGTGTGATCCTGGAGACCCAGGATCAAGTCCCACGTCGGGCTCCCTGCATGGGGCCTGCTTCTCCCTCTGCCTCTCTCCCCTCCCCCCCACCCCGTGTGTCTCTATGAATAAATAAATAAAATCTTAAAAAAAAATTAGACATTAGTTTTCTTTGCAGAAACATACAAGCAATATGACATTTTAGTTTTGTCCCATTACTCCTTATCAATCTACCAGTGACACCTCAGCAAATTTTTATTAGACTTACAAGATTATTACCAATTTAGTAAGAATAAGCTAAGTTTTGTCAGTGAAAACAAATAATTCAAGATTAAAATCGTTGACCAAAGTTTCCACAAAATTAGATATTATTACACATGTAATTTTTGAAAAGATTTTTTTCCCACATAAAGATTACACCTAAGTTTTAAGATCATTAGGAAATACAGAAACAAGTGAGGCATCTGTATCTTCACAGAATATGGCAGTATCTACAAGGGTTTCCCTTAAAACAGAGGTTGGCAAACTTTTTCTATAAAGTACCAAATAGTAAATGTTTTAGGCTTTGCAGGTCACATACAATCTTTGTGATTTTTTTTTTATCTGAACATCTATTAAAAAATTTTTTCAGTTTTCAGCCTACGCAAAAATAATCCCTGGGCTGGTTTTGGTCTATAAGATGTGGTTTACCTCTGGCCAAAACAGAATCTAAGACCATGTAGACACTATTTGGAATTCAGAGTCAAATCACAATGATTAGCTTCAAGATATTTGCTGTTTTCTAGGCTTCCATTATTTACTCAAGAAATGGCTAAAATAAAAAAAATGGCTAAAATCAAGAAGATCATAAGAAATCAAGAGGATCATTGAGACAGTTAGCAAAATATGCTCCTCAGGAGATAGTATTAGATAATAAAATTAAGTGAAGAGTTATTTTAATATCAGAGTTGTATGTTGAAATCATATGATGTTACATCAAATAAATGTGATAATTAAAAAAAGAAAGAAACTATAGCTGTTTTGCTATTATTAATCAGAGAATATTAGAATTTAAAAATCTGGTTGTATTGGGGTGCCTGGGTGGCATAGCCGGTTAAGCATCCAACTCTTGGTTTCGGCTCAGGCCATGGTCTCAGAGTCATGGGATAGAGTGCTGCGTTGGGCATGATGCTCAGTGGGGAGTCTGCTTGGGATTCTCTCTCCCTCCCCCTTTGCCCCCTCTTGCTTGTACTCTCACTTTCTCTCTCTAAATAAGTAAATAAATTTTTTTAGAAATTCTGATTGTATTACCTTTCTGAATGTTCATCATTAAAAATAATTAATTTGACATGCATAATGACATACTACATAGTCCCTACATATACAATAGCTGGTTTTTTTCCTATAGGCTTTACAAGGTCTTCGTCTGCTACTAAGTCCAATAGTAGAGATTGGGTATCCTGCTGCTCTTCAACACTAGATTCCTAAAACCACCCAGGGGCTGATTAACCAGTAAGAGCCATCTTACCCATTGAGGCATCTACTTACCTACTACCCACCCACCTAGCGAGTGATTCTGAACTAAGTGCTATAGGTATAAGTAAAGAAGAGAAAGGTTCCTGTCCTTAAGTAGTTTGTAGTATGGAAAAGATGAACAAGTTTGTACAACCAGAGGATTCCTTACTATCAGAACTATGATTATCTCTGCTCAAGAATGGGCCATTCGGTTGTATGATAGTGAAACCGCTTGGATGAAAATGCTTAACAATATAAATTAACTTCAGTATTATTATTATTATTATTATTATTATTATTATTATTATAAAATTCAGATTTGTTAGCATTCAAAATATACATGTATCTATTTCCTCACCATTAGAGCATAAAAATAACATCATAGATCACCTCATAGGGATGTCGTGAGAATAAAACAACACTGTGGAAAAATTGAAGTATTTCTGAGCTTAACTGACGCTGGTGCCTAATGACTCAGTAACTAATGATTGGTGTCCATATTATTTACCTTTCTATATATTGAACTATTGAAACTGATGGTGACTGGAACTTCCGGCTGGTTTTAAGAGTGGTGAGGGTGTATGGTGAATAGAGATGGGAGGAATTTATTTGAACTTTTGTTTAAGTAACATTTCCAGGTTCAGAATGTATATTATACTGCTGAGAATTCAATTCCTTAAACTGTTTTCAGGACCAGTGGTTTCAAATTAGCTGCCAGGTAAAAATACAGAATCCGGAGAAATTATGTTAACACTTAAGTTCATGATTTTCTTAACTAAGTGACCTAAGCAATAGAATTTAACCACTTTTATTACATGAGAAATAGTATTGATTCAATGTAGAAGGTTTCTATAATAAATAACTCTACCTAATAGTGAAAATCAGAATCATCTCAGCATAGGATCATCCACTGACAAAACTGATCTGTAATTGTTTTCCCTAAAATATTACTATCAAGGGTCAGTATGATTTTTACATGCAAACCATATCATTTGTAGGGACTTAAAGGCTCAAAAGGAGATATGGGGGACCCAGGCATGCCAGGTGAAAAAGGAGGAATCGGACTTCCTGGATTACCGGTATGTGTATACTTTTTAGGTTGTGTTCATCTTAAGATAAATTAAATCATCAGAAAAGAGTTACATGATTAGCAGCAGTCTCATCTAGTGATTCCTTTAATATTTTTATTTTTAAATATTTGAAGGATTGTTGGCTAATCTTTCCAAGTGGGCCACTAACTAAAACAAGTTTTAAAGCATCTAACCAAATGAATTCTAAAATAAACCTTCATGTTTTCCTGAATTATTCCGATCAGCAGATAGTAAAATAAATATGGTTGATCACTTTAATTTGGTATGCATAAGATGATGGTAACTGGTCATCTTTAAATAAACCATAATAAAAAAAATTAACAAACTACAAAATATACAATTTAAAAACAAGTTACTTTTGAAAGTACTCTCTTTGTGTGTATAGAATGGAGTTTTAATGGTCTTACCCCATAATTTTCACTGAGAATTTGGAAGGGAAAATATTAAAATAATGTAGAAAACTTCACTGCCCTAGATCTGTTTTAAAACAAGGAAGTGCATTTAAAAAAATGTCAATGAAAATTAAAAGACACCTTTGCTATTAAAGTGAGCACCACCATAAAAAATATAACATTTATAATCCGACATGTTTAACAATGTGTAAGTTTAACCAATCAAGCCTAACCTAGTTTTTATTTACTTTATATTTTGTTTCACATATCACCCATAATCCTAGAGATTTAGAGAAGCTTGCTGTTTGAGACTAAAATGCAAGGGGATAAATCCTTCTTTTGTATATCATGTGCATAATATTATAAAAATTTCAAAAGAATGTTGGGTTTGGGGATAAAATTCAATTGTTTCTCACATTTTGGAAACAACTTTACCAGCTCAATTCTTACTGGTTATTTGTAGGGTGCCAATGGAATGAAGGGAGAAAAAGGAGACTCCGGGTTGCCAGGTCCTCAGGGTCCTTCTGTAAGTCCACGATGGCTGAACTTCCATGGTTCCTAAAGAACTCTGAAACGGGCCTATTATTTACCCAGTTCAACCTGTGCCAGATGGCTTATCAACAGTAGAAAGACTGGGAACCTCTTAGTGTGTCAAACTGTAGAGGAAATGTCTGTCAGCCTAGTGTACAATGAGAGACAGAGTATCTCAGAGGTCTGAGGTAAGCAGTTTTTTAGGGGACTCCCTTATCCTAAGGAGAAAATCAGTGGTTTTCCCATAAAACTTTTGGGTAGAGCTTTGTGAATACAAAACATACCTTTTTTTTTTCTCTCAAGCCCTGTTTCTACTAGGTAAAATAATTTGAGAGTTTAATAATGGTTGTGCTATTATAGCATTTCTTGGTAATCATTTGCTCTCTTTTCTTTTAATGTACTTTAAATTTATTCTGGCTTTTGTAAAAACAACTGTATTTTTAAGTTCTTTTTTTTTATTCTCATAAAGGAATTTCTTAATGTAAAGAACTAAATACATCACTTCTTTTAGTATCCTTCTGCCTCTACAGCTATTAATGGCCTTAGCAGAACCCCAGCACAAGATTCAAGCCAAACCGCCTTATCTAAATGAAGTAACCAAATCCATGTTTATGTTTTGGACATACAGATCATAGGCCCACCAGGCCCACCAGGCCCCCATGGCCCACCAGGCCCCATGGTAAGCCTTTCTTCTCTACAACATGTAATCATTTATTTACAAGCATGCTACTAGAAAAAACATGAACACATCCCTCAAAATAGCCAGTTTGTATTTTGTGCTACTCTCTGTGGAATGGACAGAAAATACGAGGTGCTTTGAGATATACTGACTTTATATTGTCTTTCATTCCCTCAAACACATCTCTTGAAAAGAGATAGAGTAGTCTTGTGATAGGAGAGTTGAAGATAGATTTGACAATCTCTAGTATGAACATCAAAAAATCATTTTAACCAAACACTGTTTAGGCCATTAATAGCATAACAAAATTAATAATTGTAGCCATTAATGAAGATATCTAACCAACTTTGAGATCCTTTAATGAGATGTTTAATAGGAACATTTATAAAATAAAATGATAAGAATTGAAGCTCACTTCCACAGATGACATATATAGTGTTGCTTCTTTTTCTTTTCACCTTTACAGTACTCTGGTGGGCCCAGTATATACCACAAGTATCCCTTAGTGACCAATAGAGTCAATGGGCACCCTCACAAAACTCATTTCTGGTGAGGAAGGCAGCCATTAAACCAGTGTAATTCTCAAAATGTCCACCTAATAGCACTAGTGTTAAGGCTAGCCCTTAGAAGGTGGAGTGCCTCAAAAGCCTTTGACAAGTCAGGCAGCCTCTAAGGTCTCATTTATCTCTAAGGTGTCTAAATAAACCTCATGTCTTCAGTCACTCAGATTAAAAAAACTGTGAGTCACTCTTTCCTCCTATTGTGTTCTAAAAAAGAGCTTCACTAGAATGATCTAAGCCACAAAGCAGAGCTCTAGACCCAATCATCTATTTCTTATGAACTGCCATTTCTATTTCATACCATGAAACAGTTATGATTAACCTTTTTTTCTTAAAACTAAACAGTTCATTAAGAATTAAGCAAATGGTGGGACGCCTGGGTGGGTCAGTTGTTGGGTGCCTGCTTTCGGTCCAGGGCATAATCCTGGAGTCCCAGGATCAAGTAACATGTTGGGCTCCCTGCATGGAGCCTGCTTCTCTCTCTGCCTGTGTCTCTGCCTCTCTCTCTCTCTCTCTCTCTCTCTCTCTCTCTCTCTCTGTCTCTCATGAATAAATAAATAAAATCTTAAAAAAAAAGAATTAAGCAAATGGCATACTTTGGGCTTTTTAATACACCCTCCACTTTAAGTTAAAAGATTAAATTTTAAAATGCTATATCCTGTTCATATGAAATTAATTTGTTAAAGGGATCTTTTATTACTAAAATAAGACTATTTGATAAGTAACAGCCATTTCCTGAAAATCTTTACCCACCACTTATCTAAAGAGAAAATATTATTCCAATGTAGATACATGTAACAAATATCTGTATATTGCTTGATAAATAACTTATTTGTACTGTTGTATGATTTTGCTGTTAGGTATTTAAATACTCCTTTCTCCAAAGAGTTCGTTTAAATCACCTGAAAAAAGTTTAAAGCAATCCACAGTAAACTTTAGGTAATTTAGGTTGGCTAATTAGTCTCTTTAGTTAGATTTTCCACAAAATACAGGGGAAAAGCCTTATTCATGTATACATTATAACTTCTTTCCATTGATAAACAACTGTTATGAGAGCCTTGAAGAATTCATTGTTGTAAGAACAAATGCATTCTAACTAATAATGCTTAGTGTTCCTGTATTAGAATCCTTTCCTTAGTTATAAATTAATTTAATTAATTAAATTGCAACAGCATTCCAGACTTGACCGTCATCTCCTCATTTCCTTCTTTAGATTCCTCTTGGGTCTAGAGGACTTAATAATGCAAAAGGATTCCTCTTCATTAGTACTTAAAGTCTGGGACTTTTATCTGGCAAATTTCTGTGTTTTAAGACTTCTATTCCATATAATCTTATAACGTGTTTCACATATTCCACCTAGATTTTATAAAAATATGGATCTGAGAAATAGTAGTATGGGTTCACAGTACTTTTAAAATTTTTACTCTCATATAACCCTGGCAGATTTCTCCCTCCTTCTCACAGGAATTTAGCAGAAAGAATTGCTGTTAATGAATTTCCAATTACAGAACAAACCAAGAGCTCGAAGGAACTTTCACTAGGTATTAACAGCCACTGGCCTGCCTCTAGCTATAGCTCAAACAGGAAAATTCTTGTTTCACATCTCTTCGATTACCCTCTACAATAATCACTTCTTCTAGGAAACAGTGAATCAATTCTTAATTAAAATCTGTGTTTTTCATTTTCAGGGACCCCATGGACTTCCTGGACCAAAGGTAATCCAAAAAAAAAATCCCTTGATTATTTGATTTCTGTTTCCTTGTTAATCATGGAGAAGCATAACGGAAGCATGTCTGTCCTGTCTTATTTATCTGTCAAGTAATGTTGATAATCTTTAAGCCTTTAAGTATCCAGATGTTTAAATCTCACAACACAGAATGACTTACAACAAATTTAAGTGATATCACCTGGAGAGGAATTATTCCTCATTTTGCCTTTTCCATGACACTATGTAAGTTTTTTAAGCTACTAATCATAATATACTCAAAATCAACCATTTAGAAGTCAATCTGATGAGATTCTCAGTTCAGACTAGTCCAGATGCTCTTTTTTACTATGTATCGTTAGTTGCAGATTTAGATGTTATTGATACTCCTTGTTTGTCATATAGCAGTACTGCATCTAAATGCTTTAAAATGCTTTAACTACCCAATATCTTAATTTTGTACTCCCCCCCACCCCAGAGATCACTGGTCTAGAATGAGGTAGGGTGTATCAGGTGTGCTATAGGGAAGAGAAGATTACATCACTTATGTGTATTCTATACTCTGGATTAACAAGAGAACAATAGAGAATATCTCTCCTTGTCAGAATTAGTGCAGCTTATATTGTAAAGATGGTTTGTACCTATTCTTTGCTTTTGTGTAGACCAAGAGGACATTTTGGAGGATTAAAATGAGCCCTGAAAGAAAGGCTCCTTCTTCCGGGGAGCATATGTAATGAGTACCTATGTTCTAATCTCAGCTTTGTTACTGACAGGCTGTGTCACCTTGGGCAGACTATTTACCCACTCTGATGCTTTGCTTACTCAACTAGACAACTTACCTCCTATGGTTGTGATAATTTAATGAGGTATATTTATAAGATACTTAGCAAAATATCTGCTGCAGTTGTCAAAAAACACCCAGAAAATGTCAGTTGTTATCTTGTGATTTGATGCTTTGTCATGAACTTAAGAATTCAGGAGGAAAATGCATGAGAGAAGGTTCAAGCACTCTTGAAAGCTCCTCAGTAGTGAGTTGGTGCATTTAAATGGTGAGGGATAGGGGAACACATAAATGCAAGAGCTAGAAATCAGAAGCCTTAGAGGCAGCCCACCCTCTCCTGTAGGGGCTCCTCCTGCCCACCCAGCTTTAGGAGTACGAAAACCTAAGTTTCATTTTTGGGGTCAGGCAGGTGACTCACCCAAGAATGGGAAGAGTTTATGCCTTTTTATTCTTAGAACACCCTATCTCCTGGTAAGGCCAGTGAATGACAGTGTCTCAGAAGTATGGACTATCGTTTGGAGTAAGGGCATTTTTCTGGCATCAGAATAGAGAGCCCATCTATCAGCTTTGTGGTCTTGGTAGTTATCTAACCTCTCTGGGTTACTTATCTAACCTCTTTTCCCACTCCTTACTAAATGGGTAGTTCCTACTCTAGGCTTCTCCTTAGATTTCAAGGCACCACTTAAATCACAGATTTCAGAAAATTCTAAAGTTGAAAAGATCTCAATAGATTACCTGTGCTCATTCCTTGATTGTATAGATGATAAGCTACAGGCCTATGAAATTTAGATTATTTGCTCTGAGTTCCATTGCTAATTAAATGACTGATCTGGGACTAGAACTTAGGTCCAGGGTTGAAATTTGGTCTTTTTGCCACTACATTCAATTGTTTATAAATTCACCTTCTCAGTTAATGTCCATTCATCTTAGTGTATGATGATTCCTTACCACAGAATTTCATGGCCTACCAAGGCAGCCCTGCCTATTCATCATCTCAAGACCTCTAGCCAAAAATCCACACACATGCAAAGGCATTATTCTCAAGTTGAGACCAGACCAGTTAATTAAAGCTGACTACTGAGCCTTGGCCTTAACTTCACATTGACTTTAGCCCTGTTGACATTCCCAGGATCACACTTTACCAACCACAGCACATTTGGACTTCCTATAGAGGCAGCACTACAAACATCCTATCTTCAGAATCCCCATAACCCCCTAGGTCGTGCCAGTGTGTTCATTATTTTGTGACCCCTTTGGAAGTTCAAACGCTAAGTGGGGCCCTGAACTCTATGTTAAAACATCACACTGACTTTCATTAATCACATAAATGGGGAAAATACTGCCCAGGTTAATAATCCCTCCTGCCATGTAAGCACATGCTCTCCTCACTCTCACTCCTAACCAGTGAGACTCTATAGGGGATTTGAGACTGCATCTTCCTTTCACAAATCTTTCCAGATTTTTGTGATGAAATTAATGCGTTTACGTAAAAGTTGAAAAGTGAACAGGGAGCAGGTCAGAACTCTTTATTTCTAACATGGTGCTGCTGATAGAAAATAGAACTCTTTACTTCTAACATGGTGCTGCTTATTCTTAGATTTTTTTAAGGATCAGGGTCAAGAGAATTTATTACTTACCATGACTTCTCTAATGTCACTTGAGGTTAAATTCCAGCCTTCTTTATTCTGACATTGGACAGACGGACAGTTAGTAAAACTACATTTAAGCACTGTGGTCTTCATATTCTCTTTTGCAATTAGTTGTCTATTCTGTGTATTAATCCATGTAGGGATCTGACTTGGCAACGTCAGTAAATGTGGACTCACTAAATGGCACTACTTCAGACATCAGCTGGTACATTTTTAGCTCATTCCCCAGGGCAAAATGCTTAAAGGCTTAAGATATCTGTATATAACACTGTCCTGCATATTCCAGTTTTTCATTCCAGCAGAGTGGGTTTTTCGTACTGAAACTCCTTCAGCATCCTCCACTCTGTCTTTGATTTGCTTGGCGAGAACAAGGTAGAATAACACCATTTTCTTTGAGGTAGAACTGAAAAACTGGAACTCAGGCATATGCATTTCAATTATAAAGAGTACACTTTCTCGGGAGTTTTGCTTCCTAGAATCTTATTTGTCAATTTCAGGTTATTAATTTTTAGAAATGTCTGAAATGAATTTTGAACGGATGCAAGACAAGTCTAGCCTGACTCTGCTGTTACCTAGAACTGGAATCTGCAACCATTTCAGAGACTGGCTCTCTTCTCTCACAGTTGAAACACCCATGATAGCAACCAAAATTGGCATTTGCTTTTGCATTTAGGGTGAACCAGGGTTAAATGGTGTTAAAGGATTGAAGGGTGAACCAGGTCAAAAGGGTGACAGAGGACCCCTTGGTCTTCCAGTAAGTAAAGAAAACTTTCCATTTCAGTGCAAATCTGACTTTCCTTTTTTACCCTAAGTAACAACTCTGGTTTGCTCAGTGACTATCTTACATTTGAGACTTCTGTAATTGGAAAACATATTAGAGCAGAGCTCAGCCCAGTGTTGTTTGATGCCTGCTCTTGTGTCAGAGGAAGACCCCATGACAAATGATGCTCTAAATGTCCTGTCATTCAATTACATACATGCCAACCTTCTTCTTTAAAGGCTGATGATTCTTCCCCCATCGCCCTGCCCTTTAAAAAAGCATTATGCTGATTATGTCATAGTTTCTCCCATATGTTTTCATAATTTAATGCAGTTCAAAATCCTCCCTTAATTTTATTTTTCTCCTTTGATACCAAAAATTGTGGCCCTCTGTTGGGTGGCAGGTATGCAATTGGCCATTGCTGATGGCGTGAGGTCAGTGCTGTGGCTCCTTACATTAATCAATCATATCATGGTCTAAATGTTTTGTGTTATTTGTTTTGAAAATGCCCTTTTATGTGGTTCTTTGGCAACAGTGGACAGTAGAGAAGAAGTATTTTGAAGTTGTTTCAAGATTTTTTTTGGAGATTTTTATTTTTAATGAAAAGGGAATTTTCATATTCCATGCACTTTATGCCTATCCTCTTTCCACAATAAAGAGATTTTTAAAAATGATTGTTAAATATGAGGTTTTAGTTTCAAGGTTTTAACATGCTGACTATTCAGTGAATGCAGATAAAAGTTAGTAAAGAACATTATAGATTACATTGTTAAAATAAGACACAGAATTGGTAGAAACTAGTTTATACACATATTTTAACATATTAAAAAATGTTGGTACTCTAAGCTCTAAAGTATTCTACTTGATAGCAGTGGAGGCTCAAGAGGAAAGTTTGTTAGTAGAAGCAGTGATAGAGGTCGTCATGTACGATCCTTTACACAATAAAAATTCTTTTGGGAACATCCTGAATATATATGAACATAAATGTTCATATACATTTCAAAAATTAAATGAGACATTAAAGGACCAACTTAGACTTAGCAGTTATCTGGAGACATCTGAGAGAATATTTTTATCTGGAGAAAGCAGATTTTGTTTGATACCTAACACAAGATTTCAATAAAAATCCAAAGTTTGTATGTAAAAAAAAAAAAAAAAAAAAAAAAAGCCAGTGCCTTACATAGGTCAGGCACATACTAAGTTTACTATTCATTCATTTTTTGAATGAATGATATAAGCTTTGTGTTAGAGGATAGGTTAAATCACACCAATGAGAACAATGGACTATAGGCACAAAACCTCTATAACATATGTGGGTCATTAATTCACATTCACGTAAATATAATGTTACACTATCAGTACAAAATTTTACCATTTCCCTATTTGTTTTTAAATATCATAATATTGGTGACTGAATAGAGTATCAAAAGGCAAAAAGAAAGCTCAGATTTCTGTTTTATTAAACCTTCAATCTGATTTCTTTAAATTTGCCTTAATTTCAAATTTTTGGGCTAGTGATAACTTCTATGCAATATCTACATATGGTAGCATTAAACAACAACACAGATTCTTAAAAATTTTAATCATAACTAAAAGATGCATTTTACAATTATAGTCTGACTCATAATAGAACTATACAGAAGAAATTGTAAAATAAAAAACTAAAAATACCCAAGTATATATGGTATAGAATTATTGGTAGAGTTTGCAGCTGGAATAGATTTTTTTCTTCCATTTTTTATTATTAACTATATCTGAAGCATAAAATGGGAACATAATCCTGCAACCTTGCCAAGATAATTTATAGGGCTAGTGTATCATCTTTCTTAAATACTACTTGATTTAATCAATATCTTTAAAGGACTATAAATCAGTATTTGAGTTTTGAGATACAAAAGCCATATTCAAAGAAGTAATTGTGCTTATTCTTGAAACAAGCATTGAAAATGTCATATTTTAATTTTACATTGTACATAGCTTAGAGTTCGAGGTAAAAAACAAAAACAAAAACAAAACAAAAAACCATGCATTGCCTGAGAACAACATTATATTTTTAAAGCATCTCCCCTTCAGACTCTGATGCAATGATCTTTTGAAGTGAACTGAGGAACAATTTTGTTTGGGACAGTTATTTTTTGTTTGGACTCATGAAATTTTTCCTGCTTTTTCCTATTCGTAGAGTCCCTCTAGTGGTAACTAATGTGAACACAGTAAGAAAACCCAGAAAATAATGAGTACTGTTCATGTAAAATCCACAGAGCCATTTTGGCATGTTGAAATTCTGCATTTTTTATTCATAAGTGCTGTTTTAACAAGAAAAAACAGAGCCTTTTTCTTCTCCTCTAAAATGCTAACTTTGATTGATTATTATAATGAGCCCTTAGACTATTGGCCATTATTTATTTCAAAATCTAAAGAAATATATTGTCAATAGTACAGTCTTTCAAAAATGTATATCATATGGAAATTAGTGGTCTGTGAATGTTACCTGTAACTACTTTAAAGCCCACTTTATAAACCTCGTTAACTTGATTTCCAAATAAGAATTTGTCGAATGGAAATGTCATTAAAATGCCATCATCTGTGGGGTGTTTATTGTCATGTGTTTTGTTTTGTTTTTTTTTTTAACTAACAATGTGTAGCAATGTGATATTCATCCCAGAACCCTGTAACTGTGTATTATGTTGTTTGAAGCGTTACATTTGTTCATCAGTACCTCATACTAATCTCTGTTCTTGTCCTTCGTGTTATACCCACCAACCCTGCTACCAACCAAATCACACAGGGAGCGTCTGGCTTAGATGGAAAGCCAGGATCCCGGGTGAGTCAGTACCTCATCTTGCTCCATGTTCTGTGGCTATGAATTTGTGCTTCAAGACAGACTCTTTCGCTCCATGTACTTCCATCAAGTGATGAGGGGTTCGTAAGACTGGAGTGAAAGGAGAGAGTGTACAGAGATGTGGTACAAAAGGGAAAGTGGGCAGACCAGAGGTTGCAGTGCTGATTGACTCACAGCCTCAACTGCAGGACATCCTTTGGAAGCCCGAGTTCCAGTCTGGAGAATTTAGTAGGTGGCAAGAATGACCAGTCTAATTAGCCTCTCTGCCTTAGGACCCCAGACAGATTTCTCCATCACTAATGGACATTTCCTGTAGTTCCATGAGCAAGTAACTTCTTCCTTGAAACTAACTTTCAAATCTCTGTTCATCAAAATGACCTGTCTGTCTTCTGTCATTTTGTCTCTTTTCTTTGGTTCTTAACAGCTCCATTTATTAAATTTTCAGCCACAGATAATCAGTCTTTAGAAGTTTTCTGAAGATGAACTTTGAGTTCAGCCAATGCGAAAAAGATCAGATGAGATGACGAGAATTCACCAACATCGGAATGAGTTGAAGCCCTAAATGATTTCATATTGCAAAGCTCTGATAGAAGAAAAACTAATAGTAGAACATAAATAGGAATACTACTTTAAAAACGTGTGCTAGAATAGTTCCTATGTTGGCAAATATTAGAATAAATTATTTACAAATAAGCATAAGTCTTCCTGAAAAGAAGCAAATTACTTGAAGTCCTTGTTACATGTTAAAGAATCAAAAAGAAATTCCAAGCTCTTCAATTCTAACTAAAAACCTGCTTCAGGCAGTCATTATTTTCACTGGACCCAGTGTTCCCATATCCATTCACTCTGAGACAGAAATCCTAATCCTGAAGCAGGAGGGCAATGATGCCATTAAATCAGCCAGCTGCCGGGTCTGTGAGAATAATTCCCTTCCTCTAAGCCTCCTGCTGCTCCCCACAGAGCCAGAGAAAGTTTGAACAGTTCAACACTGTTCTCATTTATTTCCTACTTTTTTCCACTTGTACAACTGTTCAAGCCTCTTAAAAAGTTAAAAACAAGGCTTCATGGCCCAAGAGCATGGGGATGACAGTGGGTGGAGAATGGGCTTGAAGAAGTGATATGAAGCAGGACGTCTGGGTGGCTCCATGGTTGAGCGTCTGCCTTTGGCTCAGGGCATGATCCTGGGATCCTGGGATTGAATTCCGTATCGGGCTCCCTGCAGGGAGCCTGCTTCTCCCTCTGCCTATATCTCTGCTTCTCTCTGTGCATCTCTCATGAATAAATATATAAAATCTTTAAAAAAAAAAAAAAAGAAGTGATATGAAGGGAAAACCACTCCATTTCCCTCCTTAAGATTACAAAGGCAAAGTGAAGATGTTCCATGAAGTCAGAGAGGAAGTATGTAATTAAATATGACTTCCAATTTCTCGTGTGTACCCTTCATTGAAATGTGCAGTTATGTAATTCATCCTTCTTGCATGAGTTTCTTGAAAAATGCTGGCCCGAAAGAATCAAGTATAAAGCACTTTGAAAGGAGACAAGTCATCTTGCTGACTTTCTAAGGCATCATTCACCCAGGAAAAGTCAAGGATAAATTATAACTGCTTTTCTTATGACCCTTGGGATATGTCTCATATTATCTTATTTTTATCTTTTTTTAGGGTACAGATGGCCCTATGGGACCCCCTGGCCCTGCAGGTCCCAAAGGAGAAAGAGTAAGTTGCTTCTGAGGTTCTTAAGCTGTGACCCAAAGAAAACACGGTGTGGCTTTTCTGTTTTAGTTGAACTGAACTATTCATTTCCCAGAAGAAATAAAGGTACATCTAAAATATTAAATGAAAATATACCATCTTAAGTCCTAATCAGAGCACTCGGGCTGAGAGGACAACAGAGTATTAAATAGAATGTGATTGCCTTAATAAAAAATCAGGCATACATATACATAGCTAAAATAAATAGCTCAGACCAGTCCTTCCTAACCCATAAGGAAGATATTTTCATTTGGCCTTAATCCAGAAAGTTGAAGTCAAATAGGGCTAAAATATCCAGGACTACATATTTTGGTTGATAATCTTTTATATAAAGCTACTGTATTCATTCAGAGTAAGTTATAACTTTTTTTAAAGGAAATTATAAAACTTAAGTATTCTTCTCCACACAGTTACACATGCTTCTTATTTATTTATTTATTTATTTATTTATTTATTTATTTATTTATTTATTTATTTTTAGCAAAAGAATAAGCTGTCTTTCTTTAAGCATAAGGAAATAATTTCAGTGAACTATGGAACAAAAACCTTTCACTAACCTCCCTATTGCTAGGACCTGTTTCCATATCCTTGGGAAAAAAAAAAAAGATCTTCAGAGCAGAAGATAAATATCTGACACAAAAAAATGTATTGCAGCCTCAGCAGCTAGTCATCTGTCTGGAACCTTTCTTCCTTCTTTCTCTGTTTTTCTCCCATTTTTTCTTTTCTTCACTTTGGGAAACTTGGAAGTTTTCTGTGTCTGAGTGGAATTGTGTCATCAATTTCCCGACCATCCAGGAGAGGCTGTAAAGAAAGTATCCAAATAGTAAGGGCTTCAAAATGTTGAGATGATTCATTATGCAAGCTGTGGTCTTTTTAAAACTAGATAAAGTGTCTTCAGTCTGGGGTAATTTGCTTTAAAATAAGGGCACAGAGTTATTTCTTTGGCACCTACCCCAATTCCATAATTCTGTGTTCTAGAAAATGAATTTGTTCATTCAGTAAACATTTATTACATTTTATAATCTATAAAACACAGTATACTCCTAGTGTGAAATGGAAGCACTTTCCTCCCATTTGTGTAGTCAATTTTGCTAATTTGCTGCAGTGAATTGAATAATGCCATTATAATTGATTTGTCATCCTACAACCTTTTATTAATACACTATAGATATTTACTCCATACTGTAAAAGTAGCAGCCATTTTATCTGACCTAGCAGAGTTTACAATCTAATGGCAGAGGAAATAAATATCAGCAAGAAATAACCAGATAATGAGGCCAAAGTGAATACAAATCATACAGACTGTATGTACAATGATGAGGAAGTCTGGCTTTATCCAAGAATGCTTCTAGAAGGAGGTGAGTCCTAAAGGAAGAAATCATCTGAATCTGCAATTGTCTTATTTTTAAAATCAAGCTGACTTATGAAGATCATCTTAATTAAAAACATTTAAAAGCTAAGAGCCTCATGCTGCTGACGCATTCAAGCATTGTATCAAGAAATCCAGCACATGTACTAAAAATGGAGCAGCAAATCTCAAGTAGTCTTGGCAGAATGCCCTTGGGGCTCAAGAGGGTTTACCGTTCGGTAAATCAGCTGCTACTTCCGATAGCTCCAGAGTGTCACAAGAGTATCAGGTCTCGGCGCAGGGGCAGAATTAACCAGGAGAACAAATGAAATCGCTAAGAATTTTTGAAGACATAGTTTAAGTCAAATGGTGTGCAGTGTAAAGTGTTACACTTGTATTTACTCAGCACGTTAACTATCTTGACTGGATCGTATGTCAGTACTCTCCAAGTGTCCCTCACCCAAAGTGCTAAACTGGAGTGTGATTCTCAAAGTTAATTGACAGAGGTGCCATTTGGACTCTCCTAGAAAAGTTTCCAGTTTTAAAGAGGGAGGAATCAGGAATCCTTTCTAGAAGAATTCCTCAGTGTAGACATACAAATTAAAGAGCCTGAAAGAAATGAGACTGGCCTAAAAGACACCAGGTGTTCTACTGGCAGTGTCATTCAGAAATTATCAAATATATGAGTGACAGCGTGAGCCCTTAAAGGACCTGATGATCCCTGCCTTGAGCTGATTTCTTCCTGTGGCTGTGCAACTGCTGAGGAACTCTGTGAAGGGTGTTAAGTTTGAGAGGTTCAAAAGTTTTTCAGCAATTATTTAATCCAGAAGAAGAATTCAAATCCCTTTTTCATTGCCTATTTCATATTCAAATCAAAAGTTTTCAAGTGGGGACCATTAGAATGCATTTGGCTCTAAGTGACAGATACCAACTCAGGATGGCTTAGACAATAGAGAAACTCACTACTTTATATAACAAAATATTCAAAGGAGGTACTCTTTGCTCTGCCTCTCTGCCCTTTCCACATGCTGGCTTGGTCTTCTGATCACAGGCAAGCTGGTTCCTACAAACCTCTCCAGTGAGAGAACAAACATCTCCTTCCGTGTCTCTGCCTTAGCAGTAAGCAAACCTTCCCCCTCATTTCCCTTCAGACTTCCTCCAATACCTAACCAGCCAGAATTGGGCATAGGCCCGTTTCTGAAGCAGCCACTGGCAAGTGAAATAAAATTGTCATTAAAGTAATTATTTGGGGTGAGCAATTCTATATGAGCAGTTCCACAGACAAATGTTTTAGTGACAGCTTAATTCAAACAAACCATGGTATATTCATTTTAAAAGCACAATAAAGCAGAGAGTACTCAGAGGAGGGAAGAGGGAATAGGAATATCAAAAATATCTGTGGAGATTTTTCAAACCAGACCTACTCCAGATTGCGTGAACTTTCCTTTTAAACCCTCATCTCCCACTTTACTACCCATTCCCCCTGACTGCAAACACATATATGCCACCACTACCACCATTTAAAAAAAAATCATAAATTGGGGCATCTGGTGGCTGGATGGGAGGAGCACCTGGCTCTTGGTTTCAGCTCAGGTCACATATTTGGGTCATGAGACGGAGCCCCTCAGCACGCTCTGTGCTCAGTTGGAGTCTGTTTGAGATTCTTTCCCTTTTCCTGTCCTTCCATGCACTCTTTCTCAAATAAATAAATAAATAAATAAATAAATAAATAAATAAATAAATAAATAAAATATTTAAAATATCATAAATCACACTGCCAGATCAAATGGAAAGAAATTTGATTTGAATTGGCTGCCAAACCCTTTTCATTTAAAACAAGACCTCTGGTGGTGTATTAATAACAAGAGCTACTATTTATGGAACATATTATTTGGTGACATATCATTTCATGTTTTATAATCACATTTAATCTTCAGAAAAAATTCTTGCAGAATAGGTATTATTGTTCTTATTTAACAGCCAATGAAACTCAGGCAGAGAAAGGTTAAGAAAGTTACCAGCCAGTAAGTGCCAGACTGGAATTCAAATTTAATGTTTTGTTTCAAAGCCTGGCCACCTTACTGAATGGTATTGCTGATCTTTCAGTAATAAACATAAAGTAATGATGACTAGAAGTTCAACAAGCTTTTATCATATTTATTTTTGGTAATCTCCCTATACAATATGTGCCTCTAGGTGACAGTGCTAATTGATTAGTTCCACCAACCCCTAAGTTTAGAAAGAATGGGCATTAAGGAGGGCGCATGATAAAATGAGCACTGGGTGTTTTACTATATGTTGGCAAATTGAATTTAAATAAAATTTAAAAAATAAAAGAAAGAAGAATGCTAATAGTGACTTGAAATTTGCTCACATGGGAATCTGGAGTACTGAGGCATACAGCATAACACTTGGATCTGAACACATAGCTACGAGCAGAACTAAGCATTTTAGCTATGAAAAGGCTTTGCTAACCTTCAAGCTTCTTTAAAGATGTGATAAAAGGAGGTAACATTTTCTTTTTGGTCACGCATATAAATATCATCATCACTCCTGAAGTTTGCATGCTAAATCCTGACAAATGCTTTTATTTTGGAGATAGCAGCAGAAGAAAACACTACTTGAAATGCAGAACATCTCTTATTATAATTATTTCATGTTCATGGGATGACCTCCAATCTCGCAGTATTCTCTATTAGCAAGATTATTATTGTCACACATAGTGTTATAGCTGGGGCAAGATACTCAAATAGGTATGTGGAGAGCAAGTGATGAAGGTAATACATACCTACCTTCTTAGGCATTTAGAAGAAGGCATAAATGTTTTTAAATTGTCTTTTTCAGAAAGGATACAAAACATGTCCATGATTATACTGATTTGTTTTGATTAATTCAACAAATATTTACTGATGCACTAGACACTACCATAAGCCATGAGAATGCAGTAGGGAACAAAGCCAGAGGCTCTGGCATCCAAAGTGCATATTCTAGTGAGAGGCTCAGCAGAGATTAAACTTTCCTGTGTCTCTTGGTGTGGGAGGCCATACCGTAAAATATAGCTCAGTTAAGGGCCAGGGCAGTCAAGAAAGAGGCCTGCCAAAGAAGAGACATTTGATAGAAAAAGAAAAGACATTTTATTCTTACATTTAAAAAATACTTCCTTTAAAACATTTCACATTCATTTAAAAATGTTTCACATTAATGCCAAAGAAACCCAAGTACAGCACTCTAGATATGCAAATCCTTTGCACAACTGGGTACCAGCACTCTTACTGCCCTTCTTTCAGAGGTAATTTGGTAGAATATGCAAATATAGGGTGTTTTGGTTTTTTTACCATATCACTGACGGAGCCGCCAAAAGAGCCTGCATCATTGGAAGCTTGACAGAATGGTACCTCACATGGAGGCTTGATACACAGGCCATTAGGGAAGTGTGTGAACATATGCATTTGTATATGATTTGAACTTTTCGGCTTTCATTTCAGGGTGAAAAAGGAGTCATGGGAGAGCCTGGACCCAGAGGACCCTATGGTCTGCCTGTGAGTTTTGTTTCTTGTCTCCACCTTCAGCATGCATAGATGACCTGACACTGGCACGGTTAACCCTTCCCTGGTAGGGCAGACTAATCACGTTAGGGAAGCAAAGAACCATCCACTAATTCTCCACAACACCAGTGTAACCATATCCTTCATGGGTCATATTCACATCTTCTCCCACTCACAAACACACACACACACACACACACAAACACACACACACACACACTTCATGAGTTTGAGAGGATCAGAGATTGTCCACAAGAAAAACAGTACTAATCTGAAAGCAGGATTTCCACTGTCAGAAAATTCCCTCCCTATGCCATCTAGGCATGATTAGACACTCATAATTGGCACTTCCTTGGAAAGTCACTACCAAAAGTGGGTGTGGAAGTTTTATTTAAGACAACTTTCCTCAGGTTTTATCTGTTCTCAGAGGTTCCTTACTAAAACTAACTTTGCTGATAAAACTTCTTTCTCAAATTGATGTTTGCAGTGATTTTGAGGTTTCTAACCTTTCTAAAGCACTGCAGTGATAAGGATCTTTAGAACATAGAATGTGGATAGTGGTCTGTCTTCTGAAAATTCTCATTTATACAGTCTTCAGATTGAGGCTGCAGGTGTGCCTCAGGACATTATCATTGGGATAATTATATGTGATCTGATACGGTAGGATAGGACTACAATAGAAACATAGTGTATTAAGGCTTTTAACCTCTATGTAACTTCCACATGTTTGATACCTTACAGAACCAAAATAATAAACTTAAACCAGGATTACTTCAGTGCTGAAAGACAGGTTGATTTTGAAACAGTTTTCAAAATCTAATTGAATTAAAGCAATGTCCTAGGAACTTTGGATGGATCTGCTCTGTGACACTCTAGGGTCTCGGCCCCAATAATCTGCACCATGGGGCTGAATTTATCAATCCTTGCATCAGTCTGGTGACTCCTTTGTATTCCGGGGATCATTTTTGACAAAGCTTACTTAAAAACAGTTTTTAAGTTGTGACCTTCACACCCTCAATATTTATAGACAAGGTAAGCATATAACCAAGTTAAAACTATACTTAGCAATAAACAGTTTTCACATTCTTTACTCATTCATGAACCAAGTACTAAGTCATCAAGTTGAAGCAGTATTGATTTGCCTATTTTATTAGTGCTGGTATGTTTTCAAAATCAACTAAATGGTATCTGTGCTTTCAGCTTACTCCTGGATTGATAAATTGGTTGCCAAGCATTAAACTTGAGCAAAATATCAAGCTATGTGATCTAATCTATAATAAAAAATTTTACATGGCCCTTAACTACAGCATTAACAGTCACTTCACCTAATTTGGTGAAAATAATTTGTATTACTAATCAATAAAGACTCTTTTACACATTTCTGAAGTAGTTGTTCTAATACTAGTGTTGCATGCCCAGGCGGCCTCAAATAAAACAGTAACAATAACCTATTCATGAAACTTAGGAACACTAATGTAGCTACTATGGTTCTTTGGCAGGGGAAAGATGGAGAGCCTGGTCTTGATGTAAGTAATACGTATAATGAACACCTTCCTGTTGTAATAGATGCTGATGGTCTCCATCATCAATAACAGCAAGAATACTTTTTTTGTGTGCACATAGTTATGCATATGGCATATATTGCTGTGCATGTAGACAGCAATATAAAATACAACCACTAGTGTCTGCGCGAGATAAACAGAAAAGCAAAGCACATAATTAGTATAAAGTTAATAACTGACAGTTGATAATGGCACTTCAAAATGCTTTCCCAAATTAGGGACACCCTGAACATCAGCAGTTGAACCACTTATTTAAAAATATGCCTAAAATTGAAAGAAACATCTTTCATGTGCCACCCTTAGGGAGTGGTATACTATGTTTATTCTCAAAGTTGTTATGCAATATTTTTTCCTTTTAGCATAAATTGTCTATATATTTTATAACAACATAACTCTAAAAATAGACTGTCAAAAGTAAATGCCTCTTGAAATGACCACTGTATTATGTGAATATAATAACAGCCTTATTATGTAATTAATAATAATAATAGCAAAAGTAATAATAGTTAACTTTTTATTGAGCACCTGTTATGTGCAAGCATAAAATCCTGTGAGGTAAGTGATTTGCCAAAGGCCACACGAGTCATCCTACAGACCACCCTTGCTAGGATTCAAACTAGAATCCTGATATTCTCTCCACTTACATATATCTTAGGAGAAAAAGCTACAGATGTGTTTCATATAGATAACTGAGACATCAAACAACTATTACTCCTAAGTGTTACTTTTAACTATCTGAGTTTTAGGATTATTGGTCTGCCATTTTTCTTCATATTTGCGTTGAGGAACATGGAACCTTGTTTTTTCAGTGTGATTTTTTTTCAGTGTGATTTTGCCACAGTTACATCAATAGATCTTTTTGGTTTGCTTTTTATCCTCTAGGGCTTCCCTGGTCCACGAGGCGAGAAGGGTGATGTAGGAGAAAAGGGAGAAAAGGTGACCTCTCCATTCTAGCATGTGCCTGTTTGATTTTTCTCATGCCGTGTGCTTTGCTGTTCAACCTATGCGATTCTTTCACACATCTAATTTTTCTTCATCCTGTGCTCCAAAAACACACTGATGCCTGATCTAAAAAGCCAGGTCTTCACAGAGGAATGAAGAAGGCTACAGCGCTAGAAATAAGGGCATGGTCTAGCACAGAAGGAAAAAAATTGCAATGTCCTCATAACCAGGCTTACCTGACACCAATTTGTTGAAAGACATGATGTCCAGGCATTCTTGAAAATGAATTTAAAAAGGTGTTTATTATGTTAAAGTAAAAATTAAACAGCACAGATCTGCAAGAGTTTTCTGGAAGAGTTCACCTAACCCTGGAAAGCCAGCATCTCATTTATATGCACAACATTCCCAGTAGAGAGATAGAAATCCCAGTAGAAAAGTTTAAAAAGTTCTTTTATTCCGAATTATAAATTCTAGCTATAAAATATACATGTTTTGACTTGAGATAAATTGTACATGCAAGCGTTTAGCTCAAGGTGGAGGTGCTTTAAAGATTCTAAACATTTATCATATATTTACTTAATGGGTTGAATGAGTCTAAAATCTTACACTCAAAAGTATGTCACCATTATGCAGATACTCATTTTAATGATCTTGCAAACAAAGAAGAAATTACTAGCATTAAAACTTATGAAAACATAAAGCTACAAATGTAATCCTCAGAACAATGTTAATCACTCATACAAAAATATTTCCATACTTCAGATTCCATGATTAGAAGTTTTATATTTAGGAAAATTAGATCCAAATGTGAACACTTTTTGTGTATCATTCTTTAACATGGGAGACAAAAATTAGCAAGAACCCTCATGTGCTCATACGCACAAGGGCAGATGGTTTTGTGTCGCATAGGGAATCCCTAACTGTTACAAAATTATGTTGATTAATAATAATGCTGATTCATTATTCTTTGTATTATAGTGTCTGTTTTCCATAAAGCTTGAGGTCCGCTAACATATCACTGAAAAATGATTCCTATAGCCTGTTATAGAGTCAGCATTCATAAGACAACACTTTTCTGTGGAGTGATTAATCTCAGTTGACTTACCAAATAATGAACTGAATTCCAAATTATTAATACCCAACACACCTGTCTCACCAATGTGATGAAGAGTCCACTGCCTCCGAGGAGAGAAGAGCTCACCCAAACAAGTTTAAATCAATTTACATCGTGGCATTGAAGTTATTTGCTTAGGAAGGATGTTGACCAATCTTGCATGAGTGAGCAATTTAGTCCTGAGCTCCCCTCCCATCTGACTTTCTGTCACACCTGCTCTCACTTCACCCTAGTTTCTCAGGTCTTCATCTTTGATCATGATTAACTAAACCACACAGAATTTCTCTCCTTCCCCAGTATTCAAGAAACCCAAGTGTTTTTGATTCTGAGCCTTCTGATGCAATCTTTTTGGCACACAGGAGATAAATGAGGAGCTTTCACTCACACAGTCAGAATGAATGTATTAATTTGAATGCTTATCTCATACATATCTTATGTATATGTATTTGAATATTCATGTTGTTTTGCTTCTGAAATTATTCACTTTTATTGTAACTGCCTTCCTGAGTGCAGAATGAATGCACTAATTTAAATATGTATTGCACAGTATTTTGTATTCTGTACAGCACCAACTTCTTGTCTATAAATATGCAGAGATATTTATGTTAATAAGAAACAGCTGAGGTGCATTCCTTCCTTCTCCTCCTTTTGCCTCCTTTCCTTAATTCCTCCATTCCCATGATCCATGCAGATTTCCACGCCTCTACCTTGATTCCTAAATACTAATTTCCATGGCTACATTCCCACTATGTAATTATCCTGCCTACCTCATTTTTAGTATTAGCTCAACTGAGTCCAAACTGCTTTTCCTCTCTTGAACAGATTTTTTTTTTTTTTTTTTTTGGCTTTTGTTACATTGTGAGTAAGCTGGAAACTCATTTACCATTGTGAAAGCCTGGCATGAGATCTGTAAGAGTAAATTAAAGAACATCCTTGGATTTATTAGAAATAAGTCTGTTTCTCCAGTTGTTTTTGCTGAGAAGTATTAGCACTTTTAAAACTTGTTTACCTGACTTAATAAAGAATTTGCTTTTAGTTTTCTAAAAAATAAAAGCCTTAAAAGAAATAGAAGCATATTATAATATACTGAATATTTCTTAATGACAACTACAAAAAATAATGTCCTAAAATTGGATTATGTTTCCAAAAGATAGAAGCTGTTAATATTCTTTCCTTTTCGTCTGGCTCAGTGTAGCTTTCATCTGTCATAGGATTAGGAAAAAAGTAAGCTGACAAGGTATTGAAACTTGGGTAAAGTATTCATTATTCCTCTGAATTTGGCCTGCCACTGGCTGGCTTCCATACAGTTGGTATTTGTTATCTTCACCAGACCTATGGAGGAAATACTTCATTCACCAAGACCATGGTGCTAGGGTCTAAGTCAGCACTTGATGTGTTGGCTTTTCAGATCTCCTTCTTTCATCTTGTTGAGTATCTTAAGTAAAATCCCCTGTATCATTGCCCAGAATCCATTGTCACTCTGAAAGTACAAGTTATCTTTTATAATATCATGCCATCCCTAAACCAGAAAACAGTGGTAAATGCCCTTCCAGACTTTTATTGGCTAAACCATCTTTTGAATCGCCATATTTCCCCCCTCAAATAAAACCTGTCTTTTATTTAAACCCTTATATCCACAGGGGGAAAAGGGAAAGAAAGGCAAAAAGGGGCCTAAAGGGGAGAAAGGAGAACAGGGTGCTCCTGGATTAGATGCACCTTGCCCGTTGGTATGTCTGACTCGTGGAACTCTGTCTCCAGATACCATGTATGAAGGAATAAACTGGGAGAAGAGCACGCTGGAGGGACCCGTAACAGCAGGGGTTTTGATTGGGGGTCAGTTAACATGGACTTTAGGGTACTACACACATCTATCTCCGGCTCTCCCGGTATATTCCACGCCTTGTCTCTGGCCACCAGCTCTGCTGGATTTTCTTGGCACTCAAGTATCAACGTGCCACTGGAATGTGAATATAGGATCTGAAGAGGAACTGGTGCATACTAGTCCATACCATTCAAAAGAGAAAGTCACTGTTCCCAGATAAGCCCTAATTATAGGCATAGGTCAAGCTCTTATCTGGTTCAACTTCAGTGGATGTTACTTTGTCCTTCAGAGTTGCTCCTCTCCCAGCTTTTTGTTATTGTAGTTATTTCTTTAGCATAATTTGTGCCTAAGTGATTTCTTATGTTAGTAACATTATGAGTTAATCTTTACAAACAGGGATTCCGTGGCGTTAAGGGGGAAAAAGGGGAGCCAGGCCAGCCTGGCCTGGATGGGCTGGATGCCCCTTGCCAATTGGTACAGTATTTCTCTTTCCTACCACCCTGCATGCAATTCCTTTGTTTATTACATATTCATCTCTATCAGTGTAAAGTGTTACTTCTGGAACAAGCTTTACATGATAAACACACTACATGCATGTGCATGAACAGCTCCTTCAGCATCTCTGTGGGGTGACGAGAGCACGCAAGCATTTCCACCAAAGACTGCAAATTAACTTCCTGACATTGTCTCACAACTGACAAGACTGCCATGTCTACATTCTGGGGAATATTAACCTATTCAATAAATATTAAAGAATACAGTAAAATTACATTAAAAAGTCTTCTCTGTAAAGGTACTGCTAAGGCCATACCTTTGGATTGTACCCCTAAATTTAGCTTTTTTTTTCTTTTTCTCTGAAAGAAATAAATGCATTTTTGCCTCTTCCACTAAATTTCTGTGAGGCCATAAAAAAGGCCAGACCGACAGAGTTAAGCTTCTGTGGTCAAGAGTTAAGCAGTTCAAGGGAATGCTGTTAAGAGACCATAGGGAAGAAAACCAAGCTAAGAGCTTCTAAAGATGGTAATAGTCTGCAGCCCAACCCTCTTCTTTGCCACATAACCTTTTCAATGTAATGGTCTCTCCTTTTGAAACTCACTTTCCTAAAGTAGACAGAACTCCCCTATCCCCATTGGCATGAACTCAAAATCCTCCTTATACTAAAATCTAAAATTCTACTGGGTGATCCTCTCCTTGTACCAATCTGGCATTACCAAGTTTCTCCCAAGTATATAGCTATTTCTAAGTGTTTTGTTTTTTTTTCTTTTTTATATTTAAAAAGAAAGTATGTTCATACTTTCTTAGGTATCAAAGAAAACTTTTTAGGGTTGTTTTATACTTATTGATTGTTATACTTGGTCTGCATGTTCTTATTCTTCAGTGCTAAGCATGATTTTTTTAAAGATAGAGTTCTATTTCTTAAGCTTCTTAAGAGATTATATTTATAGGAAAAATGTATTTGATAAATAATTATGATTACAAAATCTCAATAGGAGTGCCCGTCTTTTATTTTGTTTGCTTGTTGTTAATAATAAATAATATTTTACAATCATTTTGTTAGGGGAAAACACAAGCATGTCTCATAATATATCGACTCTTCCTGCCTTATTTCTATCATTTGTATCTGAAGAGTGCTTGTACTTTAAAGGAAAGTAAATTGTGCAACATTTAGAAACCTCTTATTGATTCAGAATTGGTTAACCAGCTTCTACAGAATTTTTAATTAAAAAATTGGTGAATGCTATGGATGACATCTTACTGTAAAGATACAGATGGGCTGCCGATCTTTTAATTATTTGGATGCATTCTACTATATCTGACTTTCAGTATAGAAAAGTAAAAGATACTGGCATGTGCAGAGGTACAAACTTCAGATAGAAATGGCTCATCATTGATTATTCATTATTATCATACATATTCAACCATAGACCATAGTGACCAGGAAGACGAGTTGTTCCAGTTTATTTAATAAAGATAACTGTGAAATGTGTTTTAATGAAATTAAGAGAACTAGTACAGATTTATTCTCTAAAGGTGGAACTGAGTAAGCTTTGTAAATTACTTGCTCAAAATGAGGTG